GTTTGTAGTGTTTGATTTGACATAACAGTTAAAAAATATAAAAATCATAAATACAGTACAAACAAAACATTTAAACTCTTTATTTCTTTTGCAAGTACAAGAAAAATCAGACTTATTAAAAATTAACTATAAAAAATTACTTGCATTGTAATACAACCAGAACTGCGGGATCCTGGACATTCCTTTAGAAAAGTATCACTTTTCACAAAATGTTTGATTGTGGAACATCCCATAATTTTATAGCAAAATAATCAAGCCAACATCACAAGCAACTTGGTATTGGCTTCCTGCAGCCATTACTGCATTACAGTTTATTAAAGGCACATAGTTCCTTTTTGTATATAAACGTGTCTGAGTCTCATGTTCATTAAATAACTTCATATTTTTTTAAAAAATATCCCATGGGATTGCTTTATGAGGCAGTATTCCCAGATTCTTCAACTAGCAGCCTTTTTCTACATCTTGGGTGCCTCTTTGTTATGAGATTGGGGTTCCATAGCCGGTGGACAGATGCTAAACATTCAGCATTTGCTCAAATCCCAAGTGATCACTACATGAAGGATTAAGGAGGATCCTCCTCACCCCCAGGTGTGATTGTACAAGCTTTATTAAACTTATTTATACCCTCTGATACAGCATGCTATGACTTGTGTTTCCGCCTTGCGACACACTAGATCTTTAAATATGTCAGTTAAGATACTTGGTTCTGGAGAATCCAATGTCAGTAGAGTGTCTGGATAGGTGATAAATTTAAATCTATACTTCAGTTAAGAATGCAAACAGCAAAATGGTCTTCAAAATGTGAAAACCCAATGAACAGGGATAACTTGCTAATAGTTCTATCAGTCAGTAAACTGAAACCATGACAACAAAGTTTGCTTATACAAACAGCTGCCTCTTCCTGCCCAATCCCAGTTACCTCTATCTCAATTTCAATTTGCACTCTCAGTGGCCTTTCTTTCCCAGGCCTGTTCTCCAAAATATGTATTCAAATACCAATTTTTAAGGTTAGACCATTACTTGCTAGAGTTCATACTGGGGTGAAAATGTACAGTGTGCATTGGGACAAATACCTTGTGGAAATACTCCCAACTACTGCCACTGTTGACAGCCTGTTGCCCCTTTTAACTCTGCTTGAGTGGGTTATGTCACAATGGATCCTTCATCAGGTGTTTGTGAGCACAAAAATGCTGTTGGGAGTTTCAGCAATGAAGGCTCAGGCATAACACACTGTTTGAAAGTCTGAACATTTCCTCTTTTTTTTATTTAACAAAATTTATATACCACTTTTATAATTTATATACAAATTATTAGGAGAGTAAGATAAAAATATACTGTAGTTTATTCACTTCCAGGCGAGTTTACATACTTTATTCCTTCTTACACTTCTATCCCACCTTTCCTCCACAGAGCATACACACTTCAGCCTCCACCTTCTCCATTTTATCCTGACAGCAATATTGTGAGCTAGGGCCATAGCTCAGTGGTAGAACAACTGCTTAGCATGCAGAAGGCATCAGGTTCAGTCCCCAGCATCTCCTGGTGGCACTAGGAGAGATCCTCTGGGCTGTTGGGTGGGTGGCCGGGTGCCTTCCCAGCAGTATCAAGGTCATGGGGGGTGTTTTGGCTCCTCTGATAGACGGACCAGGCACCCCTGATTCCACTCTGCTGGCAGTGCTGGCGGCAGCAGTTCTGGGAGCCCGGGAGTCAGCCAGACAGAGCCGTTTACTCTGGCTGGCTTCAGGAGCTGTTTTGTGCCGTTGCAGCCACCATGATGCCGCCATATAAATTGTTTTTTTAAAACAACAACAGCACCACAATACCTGGTGGAAAGTATTGTGCAGGACACCATTTGCAAGTAAAAAAGACATAAAATAGACTAGTGAAGAATAATTGTGAATTCTGCTGAACATTTTTAACCATATCTGTTAAGAAATATATATCGGTTAAAAGGTAAAGGGTAAAGGGACCCCTGACCATTAGGTCCCGTCATGGCCGACTCTGGGGTTGCGGCGCTCATCTCACTTTATTGGCCGAAGGAGCCGGCGTACAGCTTCCTGGTCATTATCAAACTGCTTCTTAAAAAACCCTCTTTGGACCCAGCCACTATGGCCGACTATCGACCAGTCTCAAATCTTCCATTCCTGGGCAAGGCAATTATGTGATTACTGATCAACTCCAGGCAAGCCTAGAGGATGTGAACCATTTACGGTAGATCCCTTCCAATTGGGATTCAGTTCCCTCGCTGCGAGAAGTGAGGTTACAGGGAATCAGGCAGAGGGCCTTCTCTGCAGTGGCACCCCTCCCAGTGGAACGCCCTCCTGTCTGATGTCAAGGAGATAAATAACTATGTCTGATGTTTTAGTATGTTTAGTATGTTTTCATATGTACTGGAAGCTGCCCAGAGTGGCTGGCTGGGGAATGATGATGATAAAAATAAAATAAAAAATACCGGCTTAAGGATGTAAAGTTGTGGTAGAGGGAAGTCACGTGGGTGAAATATTAGTTGCGGTAAACGTATGTCAGGGGGTTTTGTCTATGTTTGTTTTTGATATTTATTTGTGTTTATTGTTTGTAGTGTTTGATTTGACATAACCATTTAAAAATATAAAAAATAAAATACCTTATTATAAATACAGTACAAACAAAACATTTAAGCTCTTTATTTCTTTTGCAAGTACAAGAAAAATCAGACTTATTAAAAATTAACTATAAAAAATTACTTGCATTGTAATACAACCAGAACTGCGGGATCCTGGACATTCCTTTAGAAAAGTATCACTTTTCACAAAATGTTCGATTGTGGAACATCCCATAATTTTATAGCAAAATAATCAAGCCAACATCACAAGCAACTTGGTATTGGCTTCCTGCAGCCATTACTGCATTACAGTTTATTAAAGGCACATAGTTCCTTTTTGTATATAAACGTGTCTGAGTCTCATGTTCATTAAATAACTTACGTGGTTCAAGGGTAGAGATTGTGAGAAGGCATCTTCCAAAGCAATCCCACCCCGCAAATAGCTTTGGAGCCTTCTTGCCTCTAGCCTAGCCCTCACCCCTTTTCCTGTTCCCGCTGGAGTCTTCTTCTTTTTAATGTTTTGTTTTTGTTTTATAATACTTTTTATTGAATTTTCCCACAAACAAAATAAAACAGTCTTTACAATCATTCTTAATATCATCTTATTTACATTGCGTAAAATCACGCCTCGACTTCCTTCCTTCCCAGTTGTGGTTTTCTTAATATACATCTTAATATACATCTTCTCTTACAGTTCTTCTTCATTTCTATACATTTCTAGAGACAGCACAGCGCGGGGGTGGTGGTGCTTTCCATTTCGTGCCTGCTACTCCGTCCCGCTCTCGGGCCTTTAAAAAAAACCCCGAGAAAACAGGGGAGCAGCTGTGGCGCCGCTGGGTGCCCGTCCCCCAAGGATGATCCCCTTGAGGTGTGGAGGTGCGCAGTACCCTTGCACGACCCCCAGAGCCCCCGTGCCGCTCGGAAAGCCTCGGAGACGTTTTTCCGCGCTTCTACGATGTCCGTGGTTAAACCAGAAGTCTTGGAGCCTTCTTTGGCTTGCCACGCCTGCGGGATCTCTTCCGGCCAACGCTGCCAATGACCGATCTTAAATACTTGGGGTCGGTGAGATTCGGCAATCGCGGCACCTTGCGCCTGCTGGACCTCCTGAGCGGAGCGGGTTGTGTCTTGCTCCTCGTGAAGTAGGGTGAAATGTGAGGAGTGTTGCAAGCCGGCGCAGAGGCAGAAGGTCTGGCCGAGGTGCTAGAGCACGGCTTCTCTGTCTGGGGCTTCTTCTTAACCCAGTAGAACACCATTATCATACGCCTCTTAGATGGGTTGGACATGCTGAAGAAGGTGCTGGAGGCCCAAAGACCAGGGTAACTTCAAAGCGGAGGACGCAGCAGGCAGTTCCCTATCAATGGTGCCAAATCCAAGCAAATGGTAGCTCCAGTCCTGTTCAATTCTGAACGTTGAATAAGGGATTAATTCCTCAGGCAGTACGAAAAGACTTCCTGTGGCTTTTTAATAGCAGGGAGCTCCCAACTACTGCCACTGTTGACAGCCTGTTGCCCCTTATATCTGCTTGAATGGGTTGTGTCACCATGGTTCCTTCATCAGGTGTTTGTGAGCACAAAAATGCTGTTGGGAGTTTCAGCAATGAAGGCTCAGGCATAACACACTGTTTGAAAGTCTGAACATTTCCCCTTTTTTTATTTAACAAAATGTATATACCACTTTTATAATTTATATACAAATTATTAGGAGAGTAAGATAAAAATATACTGTAGTTTATTCACTTCTAGGCTAGTTTACATACTTTATTCCTTCTTACACTTTTATCCCACCTTTCCTCCACAGAGCATACACACTTCAGCCTCCACCTTCTCCATTTTATCCGGACAGCAATATTGTGAGCTAGGGCCATAGCTCAGTGGTAGAACAACTGCTTAGCATGCAGAAGGCATCAGGTTCAGTCCCCAGCGTCTCCTGGTGGCACTAGGAGAGATCCTCTGGGCTGTTGGGTGGGTGGCCAGGTGCCTTCCCAGCAGTATCAAGGTCATGGGGGGTGTTTTGGCTCCTCTGATAGACGGACCAGGCACCCCTGATTCCACTCTGCTGGCAGTGCTGGCGGCAGCAGTTCTGGGAGCCCGGGAGTCAGCCAGACAGAGCCGTTTACTCTGGCTGGCTTCAGGAGCTGTTTTGTGCCGTTGCAGCCACCATGATGCCTCCATATAAATTGTTTTTTTAAAACAACAACAGCACCACAATACCTGGTGGAAAGTATTGTGCAGGACACCATTTGCAAGGATGTAAAGTTGTGGTAGAGGGAAGTCACGTGGGTGAAATATTAGTTGCGGTAAACGTATATCAGGGGGTTTTGTCTATGTTTGTTTTTGATATTTATTTGTGTTTATTGTTTGTAGTGTTTGATTTGACATAACCATTTAAAAATATAAAAAATAAAATACCTTATTATAAATACAGTACAAACAAAACATTTAAGCTCTTTATTTCTTTTGCAAGTACAAGAAAAATCAGACTTATTAAAAATTAACTATAAAAAATTACTTGCATTGTAATACAACCAGAACTGCGGAATCCTGGACATTCCTTTAGAAAGGTATCACTTTTCACAAAATGTTCGATTGTGGAACATCCCATAATTTTATAGCAAAATAATCAAGCCAACATCACAAGCAACTTGGTATTGGCTTCCTGCAGCCATTACTGCATTACAGTTTATTAAAGGCACATAGTTCCTTTTTGTATATAAACGTGTCTGAGTCTCATGTTCATTAAATAACTTCATATTTTTTTAAAAAATATCCCATGGGATTGCTTTATGAGGCAGTATTCCCAGATTCCTCAACTAGCAGCCTTTTTCTACATCTTGGGTGCCTCTTTGTTATGAGATTGGGGTTCCATAGCCGGTGGACAGATGCTAAACATTCAGCATTTGCTCAAATCCCAAGTGATCACTACATGAAGGATTAAGGAGGATCCTCCTCACCCCCAGGTGTGATTGTACAAGCTTTATTAAACTTATTTATACCCTCTGATACAGCATGCTATGACTTGTGTTTCCGCCTTGCGACACACTAGATCTTTAAATATGTCAGTTAAGATACTTGGTTCTGGAGAATCCAATGTCAGTAGAGTGTCTGGATAGGTGATAAATTTAAATCTATACTTCAGTTAAGAATGCAAACAGCAAAATGGTCTTCAAAATGTGAAAACCCAATGAACAGGGATAACTTGCTAATAGTTCTATCAGTCAGTAAACTGAAACCATGACAACAAAGTTTGCTTATACAAACAGCTGCCTCTTCCTGCCCAATCCCAGTTACCTCTATCTCAATTTCAATTTGCACTCTCAGTGGCCTTTCTTTCCCAGGCCTGTTCTCCAAAATATGTATTCAAATACCAATTTTTAAGGTTAGACCATTACTTGCTAGAGTTCATACTGGGGTGAAAATGTACAGTGTGCATTGGGACAAATACCTTGTGGAAATAAGGACTATTGACAAAAACATTTTTTGGAACAGTTAGCTTTTTCCTAAATCATTTTAAAAATGATTCTGGGGAAATTCTTGGAGAAATGTTTCTATAATGTTAAACACGCTATGCACCTATATCCTGGTGGATTCTGTTCATTCACGATATATGGTTCCCAACAGGCATTTCAGCAATTATATGAACAAAAGACATAGATTGACATGAGAGATACAGGCTGCCTCTTAGGAAATGATATACAAAAAAGGTCAGCAAACATCCTGATATTTACTTGTACCCTTTCCCCATTTATTTAAATCTCTGTTTACTTCAGTAGTACACCACATTTCTGAACTCCGTATTATTTATATAGGATTGCACAGAATATTGGCAGAAAAATCTATTTCCACAAAGGCCTGGTTTAGAGCATATTTTCCTCCATTCTCTCTCTCATACGTGGAGAAGAGCAAGAGTATATTGTCCTCACAGTCCACCCAACACACCGATTCCACCCTTTAGGATAGCAGCTGTCGATACATGTGGGCAATGTTTCAGGAAGGTGTATGAAAGAAGAAGAACGTCCCAGATTATGCCATGTTACACTGTATGCATTTAAGCCATAGGCAAACATTTCTCCCACATGTGGTTATCAGGTGGGAGAGGAATTCCTTCTGAGTTGGGTTAAAAAGACATAATCTCACTTCACCCAATGTGCATAGAGAGACGTTTGGGCTGGTGTATTTTGAACCAGGCCAAAAGGGGGGTGCATTAAATTCAACTAATAGTTCTCACATTTTGTCTGAAGAGTCACTCCCATGGGTGACAAAAGTTTCCTTCTGAATTCACTGCGCATGTTAACTTTTCAGGCTACATTTTCATAAATATTTTCACGTACATAAATCCATGAGGGGGAAAGCAATCACTGCAGTGAGAATACTGCATATGATCAGATTAAAGCACATGGTTATTACAACCAACCACTGAAAGATTAAGATATTTGTATATGTTCTCATTATTAAAGTGCAGATACCCACCCTGATAGTAAGTGCTTGAACTATAATAGAATTAAAGCACTTTTCCACAATAGGATAGAGCGCTTGTCTCAAGGAAGACTGTTCCTTGGCTAGCCAAACTGAGGCAACTCCATTCTATTCAGTAAGATACAAGGTTTGTTCAGACCCAGGGAGTCAGCTGAAAACCCCTACACTGATGGAGAGTGCTGCTTCAGGTTTACGATTCTTAGCCATCTTTTTTTCAGAGTAATGATCATTCTGCACACAGTCAGGCTTCTGGCTACTGGAAAACAAAAAGCAGATACACTATTAAAGTTAGTCAATCAAGTATTAGAAATATATGCAAGGCAGACCTGAGTCTGGAACACAAAGCTCCTTGAAGCAGGGGTGAGTAGCAGGATCTGGCTGGCAGCCACAGCTTGAGCTCTCCCAGCAATTGCAGGCTATTTTGATGGGCATTTCTACTGAGGAGAAATGTGGAATAGCATCTTAATGAACTGCTCTGGGAGGTGAATCATAGAAATCCATTGCAAATAAATTCTTTCTGCAGGATTTTTCTTTATTGCACATTTATAATATGCAAACCCTGAAGTGTATATAATTAGTATCCTAAATGTGCTGTAAAACACATAAACTTGAATCCTGTATTAGAAAATTGGGCAGAATCCCAGCATATCATAGTGGATAAATGAGTTCATTTCCAAAAAGGCAAGGTCACTACAGATCAATGGGTTGGATAAAAACAGCCTGTTCTGCTCTTCGGTTGATGCCATAGAAGCATTCCTTCAAACCCAGAGTTCAAACAAAAATAGACCAGCACGTTCATGTGGTGTTAGTTAATGCTGGCTATGATTAACTTTAACTAGATCAGATCCTATAATATGGTGGTTTAAAATTTCATTTTTCAATTATTCACATTCTTTCAAAATCAATTTCATTACCTTGCAGCAGACCAAACGTGCAAACAAGTACAACTGAACAGCCCTTGAATTTATGGCATTAAAATCTAAATCATAATTCATCCTACTAACTTTTGAGATAATACTTTGTTGTAATTAAATCTTTCATTTGACTCATTGAACATCATATGGAAATACAGCTGAGTGGTTTTCTAGCCCTGCATATTCCCTGATGCCAAACTGGTCACTGCCCAACAATGCAAGCAAGTAGATGCGTTACAATAATCCTTTGTAACCCTAACATCTTTTCCAGACCATGCTGTTGTCTTGAATAATACATATTTTGGAAAGAGTGAGACAACAACCAGAGTTACATTGTTCTAGAACAGATGTATGTGCAGAGGCCAGTCAACAGAAATGCGAAACATTTCTATATAACAAGGACTTCTTCATTTTGTTAACAGGCCTCTTTTCCAATTGCCTATTCAAATTCCAAATCTACATAAAAAAATCCAATCACCACATTTGAGGACACAACTGGATTCATTTTACTGCTTTCTATGTTTAGACAATTTATATGGGCTTCTTGCTGAGAGAAAGGCATGGTATAAATTCTATAAAAAACTAAGATATACCTTGTTTTTTCCATAGCAAGTTGCTTCTGCATTTGTTTTCCAATGTCATCTTTCATGGTACTGAAGTCTTTACTGTCATCAAGTAGGAGATTCTGTTGTGCAAATTAGTGAAATAATTGTGAAAACAATTCCTAATAGTACTCTCCTTATAAAGGCAGATACATTTTTACAAGTGGTATTTTTTACTAATGACATTAAACTGCTATTCTTTTTTCTTTTGTTTGTAGAAATACGTGACCTTCATGCAAAATAAAATTCTTGCGAAAGCACTTTCCTCAGTTGGAAAGGAGGACAAAGCCACCCCACAATGCTTATTTATAAAACTTCTATCCGGCTTTATCAGATCAAAACCCCTGAACACAGCTAGAAGTTATAAGCAGAATAGGAATGCCCCTGACAGAAATGGGGAGTGATAGAAAACCAGATCTCCCAAAAGAAAAATCTCAAATCATAAGTAAAACAAAAGATAGGCTACTATAAATGAACTGGCCTCATTATCTACGGCTGCAAGATACACCAAAACAGTTTAAAAGCACATAATTTAGGGCCTCAAAAGCATTGTACACTTCTGCACACATTCACAGAGATTTTGTACTTTACAGCTTATTAAATCTGGGTTGTATGGAGATTCAACATTGTGGAATCTTTTCCAACTTTGCCTGCAGCAACTTGTACTCCCTGAGAAGCCTCTTTCAGTGGTTCATGAATACCTGCTAAAACTTGTGGGCTCTGTTATCTGGGGATGCAGTGGTGGTGGTGGAGAAATCACTGGGAATTAAGCAGAGGAATTTTGTTGATAAATCAGTTTATTTACCTTCACACCAATAATATCTCCATCCTTCAAGTTGTAGGGGCTTAATTGTAAACTGTCACCTTTCTTCTTCTTTTTTCGCTTTGAAACTTGCTGTGTCTGAATGCAAATGAGAACATGTAAAAAGCATCATAAACTAACAGAGGTTACTTGTGATTTTGGTGCAGAGAGTGAGAATATTTTATATTCCCTATATTCCCAGGTAAAAAATAAAACATGTTTTTACAACTGAAAGGTAATTTAAAATTTTAAAAACAAAAACTGATTAGGGGTGAAGATATATGGATTTGCTAAAAAAAAAAAAAGTCCTCAATAAACTTCTGAGGATAAATATTAATATTTACTGCTAAGTGTAAATGCTTCCCTGCTTAGGAGCACTAGAAATAGATTACGTTCTCCATCTTGAGCTTTTGCAAAACAAAAATGCTTGTGCAATGGGATTTTGTTTCTCTATTCCACACCTCCAGCCCACTGGGCACCCCAAAATCTGTTTCAGAGGGGTGCCCAACCCTCCAGAACAGGTTCGGGGATGTGGGGTGAAGCAGAGGAGAGGAGATGAAGCTCAAGTCCCACTTCATGAGCAGAAATCCACTCACACCACATTGGATCTCATCCACTGTCATTTTCCATGTCTCAAATATTAAGCACGTACGTGTGTGTGTGTGGTATTTTTTTAACACATACAAATGGGGGAGGGGAGATACATTTTGCCCCCATGTAAAATGTGCCACTTCCCATTTTAGTGGGTGTTTTCAGGGTTTGCCCATTTGGCTTGTAATCTTATCACATACACAAATATGATTGGCTGCATGAGGATGATGATGACGACAGCATCACATTAAAAGCCAGTGTAGTGTAACAGTTAGATTGTTAAGACTAGGACTGATGAGACTCAGGGAGATACCATTTAGCCTTGAAGCTCACAGGGTGACCTTGGGCTAGTCACTGTCTTTATCCTGCCACACAGTTTTGTTTTGAGAAGAAAACACGTTCTCTGCCTCAAGCTCCTTGGAAAAAGGGCAGAACATAAATGTAATAAAATGTAAGGTAAAAGGTAAACGACCCCTGGACAATTAAGTCCAGTCAAAGATGACTATGGGGTGTGGCGCTCATCTCACTTTTCAGGCCGAGGGAGCCAGCGTTTGTCCACAGCCAGCTTTCCAGGTCATATGGTCAGCATGACTAAACCAGTTCTGGTGCAACGGAACACCTTGATGGAAACCAGAGCGCATGAAAATGCCGGCTGCCTTCCCTCCGCAGCAGTACCTATTTATCTACAGTGGTACCTTGGGTTACAGACGCTTCAGGTTACAGACTCCGCTAACCCAAAAATAGTACCTTGGGTAAAGAACTTTGCTTCAGGATGAGAACAGAAATCATGTGGTGGCGGTGCGGCAGCAGCGGGAGGCCCCATTAGCTAAAGTGGTACCTCAGGTTAAGAACAGTTTCAGGTTAAGAACAGACCTCCAGAACGAATTAAGTTCTTAACCCAAGGTACCACTATACTTGCACTTTGACGTGCTTTCGAACTGCTAGGTTGGCAGGAGCTGGGACCGAGCAACGGGAGCTCACCCCGTCGCGGGGATTTGCACCGCCAACCTTCTGATCGGCAAGCCCAAGAGGCTCAGTGGTTTAGACCACAGCGCCACCCACTTATCACTGACAGGATGAGACTACCTCAAGAATAAAGCTGGGGGTTTTTTGGTTTGTTTTTTAAAAAAAGAAGAAGTGGTGCCAAAGCTGTAAACCAGGGAAAGAGAAAAGGCAATGAATTACCATATTTACTTGAATGTAAGGCGCCCTTTTTTTGCCAAATTACGTTATGAAAATTAGGGTGCGCATTAGATTCAATGGCACATTACATTCGAATAAATACAGTATGTTAATTTTCCTTGACTGTTCCCATCACCTAATCTTAACTTTTTACCCCTACATTGTGAATCTTTTCTCTCTCTTTTTTGGTGCGTTATTGCTTTCTTAAAAAAAGAAAAAAAAGAAAACAACCCCTATACTACCACTAATTACCATGATGAGGATGACACAACAATTCAGGAGCTGGCTGCGTCTGCCAGTGTGTGTGTGTGTGTGTGTGCCTAGAGTGCCTTGCTTGCCCTGTTTCCTGGTGCTCTGCTCCCTGACCCCAGTAGTGGCAGTCCTTACACACTGCACTACTCTGCTCTCTTCCTTCTTCTCTCCCCCTTCATCTCTCCCTCTCCAGCCCAGATCGCAGCTGCTCTCCTTCTTCCTTTCCCTCCTTCCTTCCTTCTTTTCCCTTCCCGGCCAGAGAGAAGGGAAGAGGGATCAGATGGAAGAAAGAATATAATGTGCACCTGTTTTTGACAAATCACGTTGCGAAATTTAGGGTACACGTTAAATTCGATGGCACATTACATTTAAGTAAGCACAGTAGTGTCAGTCAGCACAAAGAACAGGTAAGAACAATATTAAAAGAACTTATCCCGTTTCTCTCTCTTTCAACCCTCCCTGTGTTAAATGTCATTGTTACACAGGCATCTTTTATTTAGATAATGTGAAATGTCAATTCAAAGAATTGTTGAGAATATTGCTCCATGTCTCTGGCATCTCTTAGCTTACCCAACTACATATTGGTATCCATTCAAACTTCTCAGGAGAATATTTAGCAATTTCAATTTGCTCCTCTGGTAATGAGTAGTATGAAGCAATTCTTTGTCTCAATGCACATGCTGTGCACTCTTTGGAGATATCCCATACCAAATCCACAGGATGGTAATAATCTCTTTCCTCTGGTATGCCCATCTGCACTCGCAGAAGCAAATCCTTTGGTCTGTAATAAGAAACATACACAATGCAATTAACATTCTCAAAATATATGTCTACATTAATGTCACAGAGAATCCATAGATTCCCTACTCTTTTAAAAAAAAAGTACTATAGAAGAAAAATTCAGAATAATTGGGATTTGAAAGAAATATTTTACAAGGTTTTCTAAAACCTGTTTTGATGAATTGTGGCTGAATATCTTACCCAAGATTCTCTTCCTTGTGTAAAGGCTCTATACAAATTTCCACTCTGTTTCCTAGTTTGAATTTACTGAAAAAGAAACATAGTAAATATTTTAAATTCAGAATAGGAAAGGCAGGATATAAATAATTTTTTAAAAATACAAGTTCCACATTTAGAAGTTGGATTTTGAAATATCATAGACTGTCAGTTTAACTGTTGCCAGAACACTTATACACAGGGTAGTTAGAAATCCTCTGCCTAATTTATACAGACAGAACAGATTACCTTCCTGAAAGGAATTAATCAAAAAGAGGTCTAGGCCACAATCAATGATGCTTAGTTTGTTTTAATTGCTTACAATAGTAAAGAACAACTGAATGAATGCTTGCAGGACAGCAATTTGCCTACTGAAAAGTAAAACCCACTGAAAACTTTCTTCTAGGAAACTGGATACAGGATTTCAGTCTCAAAGTATATCCCACCAAATTCAAAGCGACTTACTCTTAGTTAAGTGTGTAGGAATTGCAGTGTTAATTAAAAATAATGGTAAAAATATATTGCATTAACATTTATTTAACTGAATGTTATACATAGGAACCTACTGGAGTTGCTGCTTATTGTTTCGTAAAAGCCTACAAGGGCACTTATTTTCCATTGTCCAAACTCGGAGAAACTCAGGTAGTGGAATACTAAACTCTTCAGAGAATGGCAAAGTCATCACCTGAAAAGAAAAGTACTTTGCTAGCAATTTTAGAATAAATGTTAGTTTAAGCTCAGAAAACTAGTCATTTTCTAACTTGCAGGACTACAAATGTAAGCATAATTTTTAACCACCACATCACATTTCTTTTAATAACTTTACTATTTTCCCCAATATTATTGAAATACAATGTTGCAGAGGATCCTAGGGAATTTTTTATTTTCTGTTAAAATCTACATCACATAAAATCTTCAAAAGATAATTCCCCACACTGAAACCTCTATATGCAGTGCTACTGGGAGCAGATCTCAGACTTATAACCACTCTATTTTTATGCATAAAGCTTAACACCAGAATCAGGTGGAACAATGCTTATTTGAGCATGGAAACTTCGGTACACAACTGGCTTTCATGTTACATTCTAGTTACAAGGAAAGGAGGAAGGTGTACTAGTCCAAAACCCTCCCCCAATCATCTGTGTGTAGAGCTCATAGAGGCTCCTTTACTAATCCACACTAGTCTCACCAAGCAACTGTTGTCTCTGGGATGTAACACAGGACTGGTTCACCCGTCACATTACATGATACTGTAGTTTAATGTAAATGAGTAGCAGGCCATTGCAGGCTGCTCAAAAGTTTCTACAGCATTTCTCCCCTGCTCCTGCTACACTGCAGGAAAAGAAACCGGAGTCTTGACTTGTTGTGTTGCCTAAAACTGGCTCATGGCTTGTTTCATCCAAACATGGCTTCATGTTTGTTTGGACGAAACTAATCACAAACTGGGGTTTGGGCAACCCCCCTCCCGCCATGCCACAAGCCAGAATCTGTTGTCCAAACGGGGCTTATGGTTTCTGTTCTCCAAACAATTTATAGTGATAAGCCAAAATCAGAACTTTTTAACATTTATTATTCGATAAAAACTCATTCATATTAAAACATAGTTTGTATTAAACCATGTCTTAACTGGGCTACAGCCAATTTTCCTTGTCAATGCAGTGAAATCTCAATGAAAGTTGTATGTCTTGGTTTTTCCCCCTTTAAGAATTCGATTACTGTTCAGGAACTTAGTGGTAGAGCACTCAAAAGACCTTGGGAAGGTGTCCAGGATTAAACCTATTAAAAGGGTTTCAGATAGCAAAATTGAGAAAAAGCACTGTCTGAGATCTTAGAAAGCTGCTGTCAGTTGAAGAAAGCAGTTCTGGACTAGATGCAGCAATGGCCTGATTCATTATGAAGCAACTGTTTATGCTCATGTTTCACCTCACCTCAAAGTTTCCCGTTAGTTAAAACTGACAATTTCACAAATATTACCACCAACCTCTTACACCCCACACAGGAAGGACACATACACAAAAACCATTAATAAAGGAACTCGTGTCAAAATGCAGAGTGGTTCCTGCGATACTGCATGTTCTGCATTCACATACAGAAATTGCAATTCTGATGGAAGTGTCACATGAGTCTTGCAGCTAAGGACACATGAAACAGATGACAAACTGCTAGAAGTGGATATTAGGAAGTGTCTCAAAAGTCCCTGGTTGTACTTACCACTGAAAATGGCATCTAAGCAAATGCCATATCAGAACATACTGGAGACAGAGGAAAGGAAATAAAAAATATATATTAATAGATCTTACTTAATGAGTAGATTTGTCTTCGCTTAACAAAATGTAATATCTAACCTGCATCTTTAGGTCTTCCAGGAAAGCGTCTCCTGAGATCTCTATATCACCCACATAACATAGGTCAACTTCACTTTGTAGAAATGTTGGTGTATCTTTAAAGAACATCAAGAGTCAGTGTTTAATTAAATTTAGAGTTCTTCAGTTACACAATTAGTAAAACATGAATTGTGTTATCAATACTAAACTAAAATGGAGCTCCAAGCTCTGTGCTCTCCCTCATCTAATTAAAAGAGAAATAAATAGCCCTATCTCAGTGCCTTACAAGGGCTTCCCTGTTTCTTTTTAAGAAAGTGTCTGGTCCAAGAAATGATTATTTACATTGAACTTCAAATAATAATAATAATAATAATAATAATAATAATAATTCAAACACAAACTCTTGCTGACATGGTGATATGGGGATGGCTAAATAGCTACTTCCAGGGCTGAAAATATATTTAGTTTTTGTTTTTTGTTTGTTTCTGTGTATTGCTTGGGGACTTATAACTTACCTCCAGATGTGGACAGTTCCAGAGCTTCCACTTTTTTGCAGACAGAGTTTCCTTGTTCTTGCCTGTTCCTTTTGTGCCTTGACTGAGAGAAGGCTTTGTACCACCAGACAGACACTTTCAGGAATCCCTTTGGGAATTAATGAAAAACATTCTATAATTTACTGCTACAAAGAAACAAAAAGTGTTGGCTTTAGAACAGATACTAATTGTAATACTTCTGAATAAAGGATTAAACAAAAACAATGCAGAGTGCTCAGTAGTCTATGATTTGCAGATAAATCCCAATGCCCTGCCCCAGGTTGAGGGATGGAGCGTTAGGATGGCACACAGTCGTCTCTCCCCCAGCCTTTATTGAAAATAAGCATATTTTTTCAGATTTAACTACCAGGTTTTCTCTGGGAAAACTGATTACATTACTTCAGCATGCTGTTGTCATTGCTATGCTGAAACTGAAAGGCCAGCTTCCTAGATACTAAACTTTTAATACAAAAAATGTTATTTCACCTTTGGCGGAAGCTTCCCCTCAGCAACATTCAGTATATCCCCACTGCAGATATTTAGTTCTTTTAGTGTGGCAGCCTGAGGAATCAAAAGTAAACATGTAAGAGAATACAGAAAACGCAAAAGATAGCAATGTTTTATCCATAAGGGGGGAAACCCTGCAAAGTTTGTTTCAGCAATGGGAAATCCTCTGCCCCAAGCCGGCCCCCCCACCCCCCGAGGACTCAGGTGTACCAACATGGCTGCAAAGGAACAACTGGGAACCTTAAATGTGTTCCTGATTGCTCCTTGGCAAGTGGGGTGCGTATTTATAGTGCTTGTTGGGGTGTCTGGTATCCTCTCTCTTCCAAAATAGATGTTGGCTTATATTACAGGTGTAAGTTCTGTATTATTTTATTAATACTATTGCTACAAGTCTTTGGTTAGAGCAATACACCTATGAGAAAAAAGGGCACCAAATGCAAACCCCTCTGGGATTAGTTCCACTCAGGAAATTCCAATCCGAGATCCTGAGTGGAGCTGATTCTTGTCAAAAGTGAGGTTTCAAAGTCAGTGCCAATCAGCTGATTATCAGGGACTTCAAGTCCTGCTTGGATTGGCTAGGATTTCTCTTTACAGAGTGGCTTCAACTCAAGCTGCCTTGCGAAGGTAGACTGGGCCACCTGACTCAGGGTGGTGTTAGGTCAGGGGTCTGCAACCTTTAAGACAAAAAGAGCCACTTGGACCCGTTTCCGAAGGGGGGAAAAACTGGGAGCCGCAAAACCATTGCGACATTTAAAACAAATATATCTCCGGAGCTGCGATCTGACAGCGGGCGGGAAGGTGACGTCGGAACGGTGCGTGACTAACGCACGCACCGCCCCATGCGACGTCACAGCCAGTACAGTGCCCGCCACAGTGGGGAGTGTCGGGGCGCACAATGCGCCTCCTCCCCTCGCTAATATCTGCCCCGGAGCCATGGCAAAGGTGTAAAAGAGCCACATGTGGCTCCGGAGCCGCGGGTTGCAGACCCCTGTGTTAGGTGATTAACAGGTGGGCCTGCTGGAGGTGAGAAAGCGGAGCATCCAGGTCACTGCCAGGTTCTGTTCCCACCCACTGACTAGATGCTGTTGCTGTGAGGTCAACATGTACTCAGTTCCACGATGGAAATTGCAGGCTAGGTCCCAAACAGCCGTCCTATGGTTCTGGAATAAACCCTTTCCCATGGTCTGAGAAAACACAGTCTGACTTGTATTCCAGATCTGACCCACATCTTAAAGAAAATACACAGATTCCTGGGTAAGAAGATTGCAGAAGTAATGAGAAACATTGTAGCCTTTATCTTGGCAAAGCCAGGGATTGATTTTGGATGCCGTATTACAGGCTTCCTCAACCTCGGCCCTCCAGATGTTGTGAGACTACAATTCCCATCATCCCTGACCACTGGTCCTGCTAGCTAGGGATCATGGGAGTTGTAGGCCAAAAACATCTGGAGGGCTGAGGTTGAGGAAGCCTGCTGTATTAGGTAAAATAGTCAATTGAAGTCATATGGTAGTATTATTTAATGGTTAATACTACTCATTACTTTTGAGAGGGGCTAACTTAACCTACAATTTCCATCTTGGAACCAAGTCTACATGCTGATTTCATGGTTACAAGATATAACTTACATTTCCTACTTTTCATTTCATTTCAGTTTTCCTTCTTGCACTACATCCTGCTCTATGTAATATTTTGCCTGACAAAGAGCTCTAGAAAGCCTGAAAGTTTGCCACATTTTTGGTGACCCTTTGGTTGTCCCAGTAACGGTATTACCCACCTGTGTACAAAAGAAAGGAGTGCACCTAACCAAAGCTCACACAATAAAAAATAAATAAAAAGAAGGGCGGGGACTGTAAGCAGTATACCCTGTCTGCCTATAGCAGAATCTCAATGCCATTTTTAAATAACCGATTTCCAATTTTTAAAGGGCACTAAAAGTATTGAAGTAGTAATGGGTTAAATAATGGGGCTACAGTTGCACATGTATTTTGGACTAACAAGTATGTTCACAGGAGCTATAACATTATACAGTATTTACAAAGTCCTATAGGAATACTTATGTAAATGAATGTAAAAAATGAATGTAAAAAATTAGCTTTTTTACTTCCTCACTTAACGCATCCCCAGCTTCATAGCACCAGTCAATCTTTCTCAAGTGCCAGTTGTCCCCTGCAAAAGAAACCAGGAAATCGTCGAAGTGAAACATAAAAAATAACAAGAGTCACATCACGAATATTGTTCCTGCATATTTATCATTTTATTAAATACAGCGGGCCATATACAATGGGCAGAGCAATCCAAATCCTCCTTGTGCTGAGCTGGGGGGCACTGAGATTGAGCAGACGTCCTTTCACTCTGTTCGGCTGGCATCTTGCAGGCTGCCACCACCAGAGTAGCTCCAGAGTCATGTGCAGAGCTTCCCCTTCTGCCCACTGAATAAAAACAGTGTTCCAGAGGCAGGGAAGGTCTGAGCTGGCATCTGCAGACCTCATCACTATTCCAGCTTGGATAATCCTGCCCCCCCCTTTCATCCCTGGTTGCTGTACAGAGCAGGACTGCAGGTGTAGCCCTGCTAAGTGAAACCCCACCAGTTGGGGCTTGCATTGCCTCATAAGCCACACTCAGAGAGCATCTGTTGATAATCAACACTTAAGGTACTTAAGTCTATTGAATGTAATTGATCTACTCAGAGTATGACTAACGTGGGGTTATCACTCAATATAGAGGTCTGAGGTGGAGTAGCAAGAGAGATGCCATTTTGAGAATATTGTATTTCAATTATACCAACTTAGCAAATAATTAGATGTGGGGGATTTTTCCTTAGACTAGGTGACTTTTAGATTCCTGCCAAAGCGCACCAAAATCACGAACAATATTTTGCCACTTGTAAAGACTGCTTTATGGCACAATTCTTGTTGTTGGCTTCAAAATTTTCACAACAATAATATTTAAGAACAATAAAGAACTAAAATAAAGATAATAACATTTATAATAAATTTATACTAACCAGCTAAGCCAGACTTCTTCAGCATTAAATTTAAACACTGAAAGAAAAATACACCATAACCAAAGTTAGTAAAATTTAAATACTGATGAACAGCACTCACTGTGGTACATCATGACCATTTATTTTATTTATAAAAATATTTCTAAACTAAGCATTTCCCCAGCCACTCTGGGCAGCTCCCAACTATTAAAAACCCCTGATAAAACATCAAACATTAAAAACTTCCCTAAACAGGGCTGCCTTCAGATTTAGAAGACATCTGAAGGCAGCCCTGTTTAGGGAAGTTTGTAATGTTTGACGTTGTCAGAGAGTTGTCTATTTCCTTGACATCTGATGGGACGGTGTTCCACAGGGCAGGTCCCACTACCGAGAAGGCCCTCTGCCTGGTTCCCTGTAACCTTACTTCTCACAGTGAGGGAATTGCCAGAAGGCCCTCAGAGCTGGCCCTCAGTGTCTGGGCAGAACGATGGGGGTGGAGGCGCTCCTTCAGGTATACTGGGCTGAGGCCGTTTAGGGTGTTTAAAGGTCAGCACCAACACTTTGAATTGTGCTCGGAAACGTACTGGGAGCCAATGTAGGTCTTTCAGGACCAGTGTTAAATGGTCTCAGCGGCCACTCCCAGTTGCCGCATTCTGCATTAATTGTAGTTTCCGGGTCACCTTCAAAGGTAGCCCCACGTAGAGCGCATCGCAGTAGTCCAAGCAAGACAGTCCGTGGGCAGGTAGGGTCCTCAGCCTGTGTACTAGATGGAGAGGGTAGACAGCTGCCCTGGACAAAGAATTGACCTGTGCCACCATGGACAGCTGTGAGTCCAAAATGACTCTCAGGCTGCATACCTGGCCCATCAGGGGCACAGTTACCCCATTTAGGACCAGGGAGTCCTCCACACCTGCCCACCCCAGCCCCCCAAAACAGTACTTGTCTTGTCAGGATCCAACCTCAATCTGTTAGCCGTCATCCATCCTCCAACCGCCTCCAGACACTCACACAGGACATTCACCACCTTCACTGGTTCTCATTTAAAAGAGAGGTAGAGCTGGGTGTCATCTGCATACTGATGAACACCCAGCCCAAACCCCCTGATGATCTTTCCCAGCGGCTTCATATAGATATTAAAAAGCATGGGGGAGAGGACGGAACCCTGAGGCACCCCACAAGTGAGAGCCCAGAGGTCCGAACACTCATCCCCTACCACCACTTTCTGAACACGGCCCAGGAGGAAGGAGCGGAACCATTGTATAACAGTGCCCCCAGCTCCCAGCCCCTTTAGACAGTCCAGAAGGATGTCAGGGTCGATGGTGTCAAAGGCCACTGAGAGATCCAGCAGAACTAGGAAACAGAACATAGAACCATACAAAAACACACACACATAAAATGTCAAAACCAGGAATTAGGTCAGTATTGTGGGAAGATGTATTCTTAATTGTCTGCATAAGTCTAACAGCAAACATACAATTTAAATTAAAAACTACCACTTCAACCTTAAAAAGGCCATGTTTAAGATTTTGTTTTTCATTCCCTATTACACCACACAGAACAAAATAGATATGTCATTTGCTCATAGCCTCATTTTTTATTATTATTGTTTGATAATCTTTGATTAGACTGATCAAATTATGTAAACCTAAAGAGCCAATTCATTTTTGCATTTTAAGATTGGTTTCTCCAGAGGAACATTCAATTCTGAGCCACTGTCTACAAAAGCACTACAGTGCTATAGTGGTAGTACTAGAGTACAAAGTGGCCAAGCCAGAATTTTGAAATATCTTTACAGCAATGTGTTTACACAAAATTTATAGCTCCTGTATTTACCTCTCTTACAGTTGTAGTCTCCTCCACCACTATCTCCATCTCTGGACTAGACTGAAGCTCATGGCCCACAATATAATACAGAAAAAGCTAGAAGAAAGATGATTAATCAGGTTTCTTATTCCATATACAGTTAAGCTTAGCATACTTCACATTTTAAGATTAAGGCATTTTATGGACACATAATCCAATACGGAATATGGCAGCCATGAAAATAAGTCATCAAATCAGTTTGAAATTTTTGTAAAGTTTGGCATTTAGTGACATATCAATGACCTAAAACAGTAACAAAACAGTCTTTCAATTAACAAAAGCTCCCCTGTTTAATCCTCTGGGGAAGAATGTTGCTTATCATAGGTGATTGGGGGGAGGGGAAATATTTCTATGTCTGAAATATGAATATTTGAATGTATGCATCCATAATGTGTTTTGATTTAAAATGAAAGTATGTGGCTGAAAACAAGTGTAAGTGCACAATCATATGTTCTTTGGGATGGTGTCCCAAGGGCTACAGAATTTAGTGGATCTCTCTCTCTCCACAGGTGGTGGAGGAGGAGATCCACCTCCAGACTGGATGATCTGCCCTTGTAAGCCCCCTCTCAGACAGTATGGGGGGGGGGAACCACCATCTGTATTTCCCTGCCATTAATGCTCCAATAGCACAGAGGGCACAATGGAGGCATTCCCAAGGGTTAGATCAAATCCACTAGATCCAAAGCTCTCACATACGCCAAACACACTGCTGGAAGAAAGTACATTTATTTTCACTCCCACTGGACCAAAAAGAAAATATGCCTTCCCCTTACCTTCCACCCTGCCAGCCTGAGCCCACCAAAGCTTAGTGTATGACTGCTCATCCACCACTGATCCTCCCTCTCCCCAACTCAATAGGATTGCTCTGTAAATTCCTTTTTTCAACTGTATTTTTAGTTTGGGAGGGGCATAAGTTAATGGCAGAGCACATATACAAAAGATTTAAGGTTCATTCTCTGGTATCTTCAGTTAAAGGATCTAAAGCAGATGGTTAAGAGTTACTTTCCCCCTCCAGACACTATTGGGAACTGATGCTAGTCATTCAGGCTACTATTTTGAACCCTGACAGTATAAGTTTCATTTAGTTCTATGTTCAATAACTAGGGAGCAACGGTTCAATACATTATTGTTACCCCTTATAAGATCACAGTTTTTCTGAACCCAGACAAACCAAAGGTTCTGTTGATTGCTAATACAGTGGTGCCTCGCAAGACGAAAAGAATCCGTTCCGCGAGTCTCTTCGTCTTGCGGTTTTTTCATCTTGCGAAGCAAGCCCATTAGCGGCTTAGCGGATCAGCTGATAAGCGGCTTATCGGATCAGCTGTTAAGCGGCTTAGCGGATCAGCTGTTAAGCGGCTTAGCGGATCAGCTGTTAAGCGGCTTAGCTGATAAGCAGCTTAGCGGCTTGGGAAAAGGGGGGGGGAGGAAAAAAACCCTGCAGGAACTCGCAGGACATTTTCGTCTTGCGAAGCATGCCCATAGGAAATTCGTTTTGCGAAGCACCTCCAAAACGGAAAACCCTTTCGTCTAGCGGGTTTTCCGTCTTGCGAGGCATTTGTCTTGCGGGGCACCACTGTAAAAGATTGACCCAGCACTGGGATTTAAGGAAACATTGTTATGTGGAATTTCAAAGCAAACTACTAATATTCAGTACACTGGCTGTGAACAATGAAGTGACATGCCTTAAACACACTGTGGGTGAAATCTAACACTACCATTCTGCTTGCATGACAGAAGCTTTGGAGTAACCATTGCATTAAACTTCAGCAAGGCGTGGGCTTCACCCAAAGCTACACTTATCTCATTCTGCCACTAACAGTGCCAACAACAAAATGGCAAGAATAAAAATAGTGACAAATGTTTCTAAAAGCCCTTGTAAAACCTTCTTATACAGTTTGTCTTACCTCAGTGGCTGTTGGAGCTTTCCCAGAGCACAGTCCTAGAAGGCTTCCCATTTTCAGCTCTGCTTCTTTAACAGTATAATCCTCAGGCACTTAAGTAGCCCAAAACAGGAACACAGAAGAATGCTTTGTTTTTTAAAGCAGTAATGTAAAAATTAATCAGGAAACTCCAAAATGCACTGCAACTCATACAAATTAGAAAGACTGGGTTTAGACTTCTGTTTCTGGCCACAAACGTGGAAGTAGTTCCCCTGAGGCTCTCCAAAGCCTGAGGGAGGGGGGCCAGAGGAGGCTTATCTGGTCCCCCACCCCCACCCCCGGAATTTGGAGAGGATGGACAATGCCGTTTGCAGCCAGCTTCTGCCGTCAATGGAGGTGGAAAACTTCACCGGAGGCAGGGGTGCAGGGCGCGGAGTTTAGCATGACCCTACCCAATGGACCAAACTGTAGTCTAAACCTCCCTTTAAATCCATCTCAGCCAAAAGAAGGGAACTCACCTTGAAACTTATCTATAGATCAGGAGGGGCCAACTCCCAAGAGACTGTGATCTACACACAGAGTTAAAAACTGGCAGTCAAAGTTGTTGAGCTTTTTTTAAGGAAGGTCCATGGGGGAGGGGTTGGGTCAAAGTTATTCAGTTTTTTCAGGGAGGAGGTAAAATGTTGAGCTGTTTTTAGGGGAGTCACAATTGTTCAGCTTGTTCAGCTTCTTTGGGGGGAGCCAATGATCTACCAGTGACCTATTGCAAATGTCCAGTGATCTACCAGTACATCACGATCTACCTGTTGGACATGCCTGCTTCCCAGTCCTTTAATCGAAATAGTTTAACATTTTATCATTAATTATTTTTTCCTTTATTCTTTTCCATTGGCTGTTCATATTTCAGTTAGTGCTTGTACTGTTATTTAACTATAAGGTATTTTTGATAAATGCAATATAATTACTCTTCACTTTGCCAACCTACATAGACGTTAGTTTAAAATAATTATTCTTTCAAAGAACTTCATCCCCTGGTAACATGCAAATGCAAAGTTCCAATTGTTTTATTGTTGTTGGCAAATCCTTTGATCCTTTTCTCCAGATTTATTTTTTTTTTTTTTTATAAAATTTTTATTGGTTTTAGAAACTTTTTAAACAAAAAACAGACAAACACCAAAAATGACAAACATACACGTATAGTTTCAAACATATTTTCATAAACTTCTTTCCTTTGACTTCCCCATACCCCCCCACTCTGCATCCCAGTGTCCAAAGTTCCACTAGCAACTCCCAATTGTTATTTTCCAATCTCTATCTTCTTAGTTCTTTTTTAAATTTCTAACCTTATATCCCTGTATCCCTTTATTTCTGAAAACCGCAACATTTTAGCATTCATTAAGTTTATAGTAGTCCTTAAGATAACTTTTAAATTTTCTCCATTCTTCTTCCACCGTCTCTTTTCGTTGGTCACGGATTCTGCCTGTCATCTCGGCCAATGTCATATAGTCCATCACTTTCATCTGCCATTCTTCCAAAGTGGGTAGATCTTGGGTCTTCCAATACTTTGCGATGAGTATTCTTGCTGCTGTTGTAGCATACATAAAGAAAGTTCTATCCCTCTTTGTCACCAATTGGCCGACAATGCCCAGGAGAAAGGCCTCTGGTTTTTTCGAGAAGGTACATTTGAGTACCTTTTTGATTTCATTATAGATCATTTCCCAGAAGGCCTTAATCTTCGGGCATGTCCACCAAAGGTGGTAGAAGGTACCTTCAGTCTCTTTACACTTCCAACATTTGTTATCGGGCAGATGATAAATTTTTGCCAGCTTGACTGGGGTCATGTACCACCTGTAAATCATTTTCATTATGTTTTCTCTTAAGGCATTACATGCCGTAAACTTAACACCGGTGGTCCATAACTGTTCCCAGTCGGCAAACATAATGTCATGACCAATGTCTTGTGCCCATTTAATCATGGCTGATTTCACCGTTTCATCCTGTGTATTCCATTTCAGCAACAAATTATACATTCTTGACAAATTCTTAGTGTTGGGTTCTAACAGTTCAATTTCTAGTTTTGATTTATCCACTTGAAAGCCAATTTTCCTGTCCTGTTTGAAAAGCTCCATTACTTGGTAGTATTGAAGCCAATTTTGTACTTTATCCTTCAATTTGTCATAGCTTTGTAATTTCCACTTGTCTCCATCCTGTTCCAAAATTTCCCAATACTTCGGCCATCCGACCTCCATATTGAGTTTCTTTACTGCTTTAGCCTCGACTGGTGACACCCATCTAGGGGTTTTGTTTTCCAACAGATCTTTATATCTCATCCATACATTAAACAGTGCTTTTCTAACAATATGATTTTTAAAGGCACTATGCTGCTTAATTTTATCATACCATAAATATGCATGCCAACCAAAAACATTATTAAAACCTTCCAGATCCAAGATGTCTGTGTTCTCGAGGAGCATCCATTCCTTCAGCCAGCAAAAAGCTGCTGCCTCATAATACAATTTTAAGTCCGGCAGGGCAAACCCCCCTCTTTCTTTAGCGTCTGTCAATATTTTGAATTTAATTCTGGGCTTTTTGCCCTGCCAGACAAATCTCGAAATATCTTTCTGCCACCTCTTAAAACATTCCATCTTGTCGAGAATCTGCAAGGTCTGAAACAAAAATAACATTCTAGGCAATACATTCATTTTAATCACTGCAATTCGGCCTAACATTGACAATTTCAAATTTGACCATATTTCTAGATCTCCTTTTCTCCAGATTTAATTCATTTCCTCTTTCTGTGAAAGCAGTTCACAACAGTTCAAAGATTCCTTTTATGCTGATCCTTCAGCTAAAACATTCTGCAATTCTTGATTCTTCTCCCCCCCCCCCCCCCGCAGGCTTCTGTTCTCATGCTTAGCCTCCTGCCTTCAGTAAAAAACAACACTAATCCCCTCTTTCTTACCCAGTGCCATGTGGGGGTGGGGAGTCTTTATTCCCTTGCATTTAAAAATCAAAACACCCTTTCTCCTATTTACCAACAAGAATAAACTAATGTCTATGAAGCTTGGCAAAGTGAAGGGAAGTGCAGGGGGTTGGCCTAGATGGCCCTTGGGGGTCCCTTCCAACTATACAATTCTGTGATATAATATGCAATGCAACCATAAGGTGTAATCTACGCGCATATAAACTGTTCTGAAAATGCTTTTTTTACAGCATTTTAAAAAATACATTGAATTTTCCATAAGGCTCACCATCATCATCTAGTGTCACACTGTATATTGCACCCAAAACACACTTTAAACCATGGGTAGGCAAACTAGGGCCCGGGGGCCGGATCCGGTCCAATCGCCTTCTAAATCTGGCCCGCGGACAGTCCAGGAATCAGCATGTTTTTACGTGAGTAGAATGTGTCCTTTTATTTAAAATGCATCTCTGGGTTGTTTGTGGGGCCTGCCTGGTGTTTTTACATGAACAGAACGTGCCCTTTTATTTAAAATACATCTCTGGGTTATTTGTGGGGCATAGGAATTCATTCATTACCCCCCCCAAAAAAAAAATATAATTTGGCCCCCCACAAGGTCTGAGGGACAGTGGACCAGCCCCCAGGTGAAAAAGTTTGCTAACCCCTGCTTTAAACTTTTTATTTGCTGCTGTATAGCTGAATCTGATGTCTAATTAAAAAAAGCTGCAAATAACAAAGACAAAACAAATGATTGCCTGATCATAAACCCTACTTCTTCTGTTTAAAAAAACGATAGCACAACCACAAACATACAGCTGCATTAAGCTGTATTTGGAGGACTGATGTGTGAGCTTACCTGGACAAAGAAGTTTTCCATTTCTGCTAATGGGCCTGAGACAGCTATTGTTAACTGCAGCATGAAAAAAGAGAATAAAGATGAAATCAATACAAATCTATGAAGTTTCATTTGCCTGAATTTTTCTTCACCTCATTAATAGAAAGACAATTTAATTGAATGGACAATTGCTCCTCCAGGTTGGAATGCAGAACAAAATGTTGTTGCTGTTGTTGTTTAGTCGTGTCTGACTCTTCGTGACCCCCTGGACCAGAGCACGCCAGGCACTCCTGTCTTCCACCGCCTCCCGCAGTTTGATCAAACTCATCCTGGTAGCTTCAAGAACACCATCCAACCATCTCATCCTCTGTCGTCCCCTTCTCCTTGTGCCCTCCATCTTTCCCAACACCAGGGTCTTAGTATCACAGAATTGTACAGTTTGAAAGGACCACAAGGGTTATCTAGTCCAACCACCTGCAATGCAGGAATCTTTTTGCCCAATGTGGGGCTCAAACCCACAACCTAGAGATTAAGAATCTCATGCTCTACTGACTGAGCTATCCCTTCCAAGGCAGAGTTTCTGCTCATTTATATGCGTTTCAAAATAGAGAAACAAATTTCAAACAATGAGATTAAATTAATTTGAGATTAGAAACATTTACAAAAATAGATACATGTGATGTTCAAGGACATGTGTAAACATTTCCAGAAAATGAACTGTGTGGTTGGGGCAAATTGTCTTATTTTTAGAACGATTATAATGTTCAGTCTTTGAAACACAGTAAGCTCACAACTTATGTGCATTTAACTCATGCACATTCAGCTTTATGTTTGTGGCAAAAATATAAATGGAAAGGGGGCAGGGTTCTGGGAAAGATGACTTTGGCAATCCCACCTGCCACTGAATCTAATGAGTTTTGTCTCCATGCGATTTTGGCTTTAGGTGTGATCCTCAGAATGTAACCTCTGTGTATGTTGTGGTCTTACTGTAGTAGAAAGTGTTTGATCCCTCTGCCTTAATCACACAGGTGCTCTCATGCCTGTATAATAATATGCAATTACCATTTCTTCTGTCCATACCAAACATCTTCCCTTGATAGCTTTTGTATGTACACAAATACATTTTGTTAGCAGTTTCTGTTAGAACTGATAGAAACCCACGTGCCTATTGTTTTATCTACGATTTAAACAAAAGAATAAATGGGTTGGATTAACATGTCCCATGCATATAATTCTGCTCCCAAGGTTGCTCCTGCTGGAGGAAATGCAGTTCAGGGTGAATGGAGGCTGTTTTCACCTACTCATCCTTCCTCCTGCAGCCGCCTATAGCCTCTTAAAAGCTGCCACAGAGGTAAGGAAGAAATGGAGGAAAATTCCTCCAGTAGCAGCTTTTGTTGGATCTGATACCACTTGATATCTTCAACACCAACTCTGAAATAACCAACTGAACAAAATTAAATTTTGCAAAACTATTTTACCTAGCTCCTTGTCCAACTGCATTTCTTCTATTGCTTTAATCCTGATGTCTGCCATCACCTAAAATAAAAACCATTAATTAAATGCAAATGTGATTCAGCAAAGGAATGCAGATTTCATAAATGTTTGTGTTTTAGTACTTAACCCCCTTAGCAGCTGATGGCTGAAACATTTTTATTAGCAGCCAAAAATTTCATTTTACTGCATTTCTTTTACTCCTATATTTTCAGATGAATAAGCTGAACAGGAAAAACCTTATATAGAAAAGTCAATAAGGCATGTTGACTATGAATATAGACTTAAATGTATTATTGAGCCATAAAATGCAGCTATTTGCATTTTAAAAGAATCTCCCCAACTTGCAACAATTATGTTTCTCCATAACCTAATGAGCTATTACTAAAACATTTTTAACTTCCTTGACACAAAAAGTGTGTAATATGGAACTTGTTTATTTTAATTGCATTTCAGTCCTTTTTTGTAATGGACTACTTCCTACATCACATTTCCCAACTTGTGTTCTTAAGATGCATGCAGGTAAAGGGCAGGATGTCCAGTAACACATGTATTGGAATTATGCAAGGAGTCAGCTGCAAACACCAAACATATGTGCCCAAGTACAAACAGTAAAGACATAAATACTTCAGGTTGTATGCAACTAAACAGCACAAAGTGCTAGCACAATGTGGTTTTCCCCTCCTTCCCTTGCGTGTGCCCCTGCATCACCCCCGAACTGCTCCAGAGGGTGGAGGAAACCCCACAACAGATTTAGGGGGTGCACAGGGAGGAGAGGGGGTGACTACTCTGCTTTGCAAGGAGAAATTTTTGTGCTGATGTATTATCTGCTTAACACTGTACTGAGTACAACCCATTTATTGAAGACAAGCAAAGCTATTTAAATGTATATCTACCATATGTGTTTAGCACTTTAAACATGTGTTTTTGTGGCCTAGTTTAAAAAGCAATGTGTGAATCAGTCCTCACATTCACAGCTGACACTAGGGGTGTTACAAATATATGCACATCTTCCTACTTTCCTATAAGCATCTAAAACACAAGCAGGCAAAAGTAACAAGGTAAACAGCTTTCTGGACTTGGACAATTTAGAAAGCAAAACAAAGTAGATGAGCTGAATTGAATGGAAGGAAATGAATCAGTGGAGATGAAATCTCTCAGAGCCGTGCAATCACAGTTGCTTTACTTACTGTTTCAATAGTTGCAGTAATTTTAACTTGTATCTCTTCAGCCTCCAATCTACAGAAATTTTTTACTTGTAACCAGCTGATATCATGCGTAAAAGCAGTCAAATTGCCGCCTGCCACATTCACCATGCTGCAAACAACACATGCTTAGAATGCATAATTGTGCATCACATGTAAGACAAAATGCAGGGAAATGAATTCTAAACAATGGTACTAATCTAAGCAACTAAATGACCCAGCAAGGTCGGGTCTCGTTCTTATGTAATAAACTAATATTGCAAATATCAGTCACAGCACAACCCCAACCCCCCATTGTCATCAAGGAGACACTGTGGTGGGCAGTACTAGACATGCAAGTGTCAGAAGTCACAACACCAGGTGGTAAATCTGATTTTAGTCAGTATCATGTGCCTACTAGATTTCTTGTTCTTTATCCTTCTCCTCTTTTGGTTATTTATTAATTACTCAAACACTGCAATGAATATGTATGGCACACTTCTAAGTTAAGTAATCTTAGTGCCTTAATGTCTGCTCCAAGCAGATTTCAACCTAGAGTTTAGCCCAAAGAAAAAAGATAACCATATCAAGATGAATGCAGTTGCACATACATATACTTAGTGCAAATCTGTTCAAACCTTTCAACCCATGGGCTACAGATCCCTTAGAATTCTGGCTCCAAAGGGTTTGGGGGCTTCTGACTGCTTGAAAAGTATGGTGCAGAGCAATCATCTTTTGAAATCAGTGACACTTTCAAAAGCAGTTTTTGATATGGCATAGTGTCCTTGAGTGAACCTGCAGAATCTTTGGAACCCATCCATGGTAGCTGTGGTTTAAATCTGCTGATGGCGATTTTTAGCCACATTGCTGCTGATTGAGCCAACTGCGTAATTAACAACAACACTAGTTTCGGATAATCTGATGGACTGCTATACCTCAGGATGCAATGCTGGCATTTTTATGGCCAGCTCAGACCACAGCTGATAAAACACTTCAACGTTGTCTATATGTTAATTTCCTATACTGGAACATCCACCCATATATTTCTTAAAGTATGCCCTATGAATCCTATTCCCACAGAAACCCTTCAGGTGCCTTAAAATTCCAGTCTGACTGCACATAATCCAGGACCTAGATCCAGTCAAAGCCTGCTGACATCATGTATATATAGGGCACACAGAATCTCTAACAAAGTAGACTGGAAATACGCATTCCCACATCAACAGAAATGAAACTATACAAAATGATACAAGAACTCTCTGTATTGGTGGGTTTAGGTAATACATGTGGGAATGAAACTAATTTAGGTTCTCTCACAGAAGTGGATCTATGGAAAGGGACAGAAAAGAAGGCGGCAGTGTAATTTTGGAACAGGATGGAGAGAAGTGGAAATTACAAAGTTATGACAAATTGAAGGATAAAGTACAAAACTGGCTTCAATACTACCAAGTAATGGAGCTTTTCAAACAGGACAGGAAAATTGGCTTTCAGGTGGAAAAATCAAAACTAGAGATTGAACTGTTAGAACCCAACACTAAGAATTTATCAAAAATGTATAACTTGTTGTTGAAATGGAATACACAGGATGAAACGGTGAAATCAGCCATGATTAAATGGGCACAAGATATTGGTCATGACATTATGTTTGCTGACTGGGAACAGTTATGGACCACCGGTGTTAAGTTTACGGCATGTAATGCCTTAAGAGAAAACATAATGAAAATGATTTACAGGTGGTACATGACCCCAGTCAAGCTGGCAAAAATCTATCATTTGCCTGATAACAAATGTTGGAAGTGTAAAGAGACTGAAGGTACCTTCTACCACCTTTGGTGGACATGCCCGAAGATTAAGGCCTTCTGGGAAATGATCTATAATGAAATCAAAAAGGTACTCAAATGTACCTTTCCTAAAAAACCAGAGGCCTTTCTCTTGGGCATTGTCGGCCAATTGGTGACAAAGAGGGATAGAACTTTCTTTATGTACGCTACAACAGCAGCAAGAATACTCATCGCAAAGTATTGGAAGACACAAGATCTACCCACTCTGGAAGAATGGCAGATGAAAGTGATGGACTATATGACATTGGCCGAGATGACAGGCAGAATCCGTGACCAACGAAAAGAGACGGTGGAAGAAGAATGGAGAAAATTTAAAAGTTATCTTAAGGACTACTATAAACTTAATGAATGCTAAAATGTTGTGGTTTCCAGAAACAAAGGGATACAGGGATATAAGGTTAGAAATATAAAAGAGGACTAAGATGACAGAGATTGGAAAGTAACAATTGGGAGTTGCTAGTTGAATTATGGACATGGGGATGCAGAGAGGGGGGGTATGGGGAAGTCAAAGGAAAGAGGTTTATGAAAATATGTTTGAAACTATTCGTGTATGTTTGTCTTTTTTGGTGTTTGTTTGTTTTTCTTAAAAAGTTTCTAAAACCAATAAAAATTTTATAAAAAAAAAAAAAAAGAAAAGAAGGCGGCAGTGTAATTTAGGCATCTTGAAAAAGAGCTCCAGCACAAAAGGATTAGAAGGAAATGTTGAAAAGGAAAGCAGATTCTGAAATACACATCCCAGTCACATTCAGAATTATTTACCGTGATAAATCTTTTTCATATAAAACTTCTCAGCTGGTGTGACTTTTAGCAAATACTCTTAAATAGTGAACAAGTCTCTTGCCTACATGTTCTTTGCCCTAAATCGTGTAAGACAGGAGGGAAAGAAAAGGGGCTCCACTGAGCCGTACACCAGGCAGCAGCCATAGACTGATGGACCTTGCTCAATATATTTATGCTTCTGGTTGCAAAAACATTGTTACCAGCTGTGAGTCGTTGAGATAGTGGAAAGAGGTGGTGGTAGAAGAAGGACAACAGAATCCCACTTGAATTATATCAAAGATGTTTATAAAGTGGTGGCATGTGCAAAAAAAAAGCATTACAGAATTCCTGTTCATGGTCCCCGGTAACCTGGAATAGGTGCCTTGCAGCACTGTTCAGGACACACGGGGTGAGGGGGAGGTGAGAAAAAACTGGGAGTGGGAGGAGAAAGGGTTGAAATATTTCATTTCTCACTCTTCTGAGACAACCTGTCACTTTCAGTTTGAACCTGAAAGCCTTAGCAGGCTGGAGCAAGACATTTCTAGAGAACAAGAAAGGAAAAAAAGTGTCCTCTCCCACTGCTGAAGCCTCCTTGTGCAATGCAGGGTACAGTGCAAGGCACAGCCCCAACCCTAATGGCCTCTTCAGGGTTAAACGGGATTAAGTAGGGCTCCTTCACCCCTTGTGGGCCACTTTGACAGGTGGGTGGGGTGCCTACCTGTCAATCACCTGGTGCCACTATGGCTTCAGGTGGCCAATCTTCAAAGGAAAGAATTGGGATGGCACTTTAAGTGCCCTCTAATTTTTTCCTTTCTTCCTTTGCAGTCTGGCTTAAACTCCAGTCAGGCTGCAAAGGAACACCCCTATCAAAATGGGGATTGCAGGTATCACCAACAAATCCCTACAAACCTTGCTTCTGGCAGGGATTGGCTGCACTTGGGAATTCTGATCAGGAGCTCCCAAGTGGAACCAGTCCCAGTACGGCTTGCATTTGGTGCCAAATTTAAAACGCACCAATAACAAACCCAGTTTGCCAAGAAACTATAGGAAGTTTCTTTGCCGTCACATCAACACCTGTCCCACACTTAATGTTACATATTAGGTAAAATATAGGGCAGGTGGGTGTGGCTTAAGGAAAACTGCCTCACGGGAAAATTAGGACCTCTGCTGAGTCTCACTTGGATCACAGTCAAGAGACACCTGTATGAGTGGGCACTGAGATGGCCATTTCCCATTCTTTCCTCATAAACTGCCCTCAATATTGCATGGCTCCTAGAGGTTTTTTTAAATCACCAAACACGTAACTGGCTTGTCATATAGCTTTCCACAACTGAATTACACAATGAAACATAAAAGGAGAATAAATACTTAATCTCAATTCAATTCACAAGATTTACCTTTGGTCATGGCTGTCTAAAACTAGGATTGAGCTTCCATTCTTGAGCCCAATATCTCTGAGTGTCTGTTTCATATCTTCTTCAGGAATGACTTTCCAGTTTTCAGAGTCTTTCTCAGACCCTGAATGGTTCTTTAAGACAATCCCTTCGGGTGACATTAAAGCATCACAAATAGCTCTCAGGTTTGAACTACATGGAAATACATGCTGGGATTCCATAAATTGCTGTCCCACTCGTCCTTCATTATGTCCAGCTAAACGCAGAACGTTTATAAGAACAGGTTCATGGTCAATGCCAGTCAGAACTTCCACTCCATCAACCTATAGAAACAAAGTAGAATTATTTGAGCACAGATAATGAGCTGAGAGAACATTTAGTTAATGCTTCAAGTGCAGGTTTCTGTAAAACCACGATCTTCCTTGTATGCCACAAGCAGTATACTTTGAGCAATATCCTTAATTAATATTCAAAAATTTGTTAAGGTGTAATAAAATGCGAAGGCTTTAATCAGGGAGTTGGCAAGCCGCTGTGTTGAAATATTTAATTGATTTCAAAGGCAGGTAATTTTACTGTATTCTTATTAAATCACTAAATGTTCATAGAACATACAAAGCAGCAAATCATTCAAGTCAGATCTTAGAATCATAAAACTGTAGAGTTGGAAAGGACCCCAAGAGTCATTTAGTCCAACCCCCTGCAAAGCAGGAATCTTAACTAAAGCATCCAAATAGATGTTAGTATCCATTCATATGCAACTATTCAGAAGGGGGTGAAATGCCTCTAGGTAACTTGCAGGTAAAAACATAATACATTATCACACCACAAATGTTTAAAATGCACAGCATGAACACCCAACAACAAAGTCCATTTTCAACCACAAATCAAAATAAAACACAGAACGGTCATAAAAAATGCATTTAGCCACTAGTCGAGAAAAAGTGTTAGTTATACAATAGTAAAATTGTGGGGGACGGGGGACGGGAAGGGACGAAGGGTTGATAGGGAGATCCAGTTGTGTGTGCTTGCACCCTTGTGTAGGAAACTATTGTGGCTATCATTTAATTTTTGAGCTTTGCGAAAATTGAAATAATATGCACATAGTTGGCACAGGTAAGCAAACTCCTAACAAGAAAAGCAAATGACACAAGAATGATAGCAGAACAACAAGATCCTGCCACAAGGAAATGAAACCAATGTTTCTTCTAGGCATAAACAGACTCTAGCCATTAATTAAGATATGGTATGCAGTTCAACAAATAATAAGGTTTAAAGTGAAAATAAACCTTAAAAACAACAAAATGTGTTTGTCCCATTCACAAGGTAGACAGTTTTGTACCTCTTTTCCATTCCACACGAATATATTGGCTCCATCAGAAAGTCCAATGCCACTCAACGTAGAATCATCCCCTGACAAACAAAATAGTTTTTAAACTCCAAAAAGACACACTGAAAAGTAGAAAGGTCCTTTAAAATTATATAAGCCAATTATGTCTAAAGAATCTCCAACAACATTTGACTTCGTTTCACTGTAAAGTGTAACTTTATTAGCTACATGCTTTCTCCTTCTGACACGGAGGAAACCCTCAAACTATGCAGCCCAAAAGCCAATTTACAGCATCAAGTTAATTAATCTGTATTCTTTAGTTAGGCTTGTTCTGAGTTATTTATTGTGAAAAAATTTGGATCTTTTTGTCAGTCTAATACTTCTGCCACATAGGAAAGAAATAGTAGGACCATCCAAAATTAGTAAACAAGACAAAGGACAAATCTACGGTATTTTTCATCAGCACCACACAAGAATCTTTCAAAATGTATTTCCTTGATGTGTTTCATGTATGTTTACGTTGTTGTTGACATACGTCTGTCTCAGGAGACAGTATGGGGAACTGTGCCTTTGGGGATGAAGTCAAACTGTTGGAAGGTTGCAACAGGATCACATATATAAAAAAACCTACTGCTTGCATGCCTTTCCAGCTGCAACTATGTAGCTGATCCTCGTCCAGCCCAACAGATGCAGCAATGGGGTAAGAGAGCTTTGTGGCAACACTTACATCAAGAGTAACCACTTAACCTGCCCAGGAAACATGATGCCCAGAGGTCTTTGACAATGTGAAGTACAGTGATATAAAAATTATTTAAATTTGCTTCTGAAATGTCTGTGTTAAAATTTATTATTTTACAAGTCTGAATAGTAGGAATGCCACCTTTCTCCCATGGCTCAACAAACTAATAAAACCTACTAACAAATCTTTCCTCAATAGCTAATTTCCCCTCTCCAGAGACTTCTACTTCATGTGCATATTCTTTAAGTCTGGATGCCCACAGATATCACTGCAGATAGGAGCCCCAATCTGCCAGGCATAATAAGTTTGAAGAAACAGATTTGTGAACATTTATCTACTCGTACCATATAGGTGGGACGCAGGTGGCGCTGTGGGTTAAACCACAGAGCCTAGGGCTTGCCGATCAGAAGGTCGGCGGTTCGAATCCCCGCGATGGGGTGAGCTCCTGTTCCTCGGTCCCTGCTCCTGCCGACTTAGCAGTTCGAAAGCACATCAAAGTGCAAGTAGATAAATAGGTACCGCTCCGGCGGGAAGGTAAATGGCGTTTCCGTGTGCTGTTCTGGTTCGCCAGAAGTGGCTTAGTCATGCTGGCCACATGACCCGAAAGCTGTACGCCGGCTCCCTCGGCCAATAAAGCGAGATGAGCGCCGCAACCCCAGAGTCGGTCACGACTGGACCTAATGGTCAGGGGTCCCTTTACCTTACCATATAGGTGCAAAGCTATATCACAATGGTACCCTCACACTGTATCTTTGCAGAAACTCGATTGCTAGATGCAGCAGGATGAATTTAGCCTTATGTAGATCACGTGGCTCCATGCAATGAAATGAGTGCATTTCCATTTGGGGGCTCTTTTTCTGTCACTCAGTTCTCCCAACCCCATTCTAAGCAAATTTTAGACTGCCAAGTGAGGGAATCGCATGATTGAATGCTCCTCCAGATCAATAATTGCACATAGAAAAATAGTCAGAGAGAGTAAGTTTAGCTCACCCTCCCTCCCATTATGATACGACGTTTGGAACACAAAAGAATTTTAAAGAAAAACATCCAACCACGTGGTCAGGAAGAGCTATTTGTGTAAACAAGGCAACATGCCTATGCCTCAAGCCCAGGGGCCAGATGCAGCCTCTTGTGGAGCATGGTGCAACAGGGTAGGGTGGAAGGCAAGGAGGCAGACAGTAGGCTAAGCCAGAGCTAACCACTTCTGGTTTTGTTCCCCTTTTATACCCTGCTGAATTCTATGAAGGCAGCACTGAGACTAAGGAGGAGCCAGTGCCATCCTTTGGGCTGGTTGTAAGTAAGGAGGAAGCATAGCTGTCAACTTTTCCCTTTTCTTGCGAGGAATCCTATTCGGAATAAGGGAATTTCCCTTTAAGAAAGGGAAACGTTGACAGCTATGGGAGGAAGGCAAGTGGGGGCTGACTAAGGGCAGGCTGAGTTTGGATGGGTAGTGCCCCATTTGCCCTGATGGACCAGCTGCTATTGCCCTTCAGTTTTCTTTCCAGCCCTTGGGACTCTTCATAGGTCACCCCCTCTCTCCCCAGGGCAGACCAAACCACTCATCAGCCCTGATGCTCCATGTCTTCCTCAAGCTGTTTTTCCGTAGCTGGAATGCATCCCTGTTCTGCAGATGGGGAACAGAGATTGTGCGTGTGTAGAAACCTTCTGACTTTTGGATGTTATCTACTATATCAAAGGTAAGTCGTGTCGATTGCACCACCCACTTTTGGCTTCTTGCACAAATACCCACTACTGCCACCTGGGCTGAAAAAGGTTCCCCACTATTGCTATGCCTCATTGACTCAATGCTGTGTCTCACTGACATGTTTAAAAGAGGAAGGTAATCGTGCATATTAGAAATGTGGCATACATAAAATTTTAATTCTATGGTAACTGATATTAGCGAAGATGTCTACCATAGCAATCAAGATGCTTTTTGATGCATACGTATCTTTGAAGAAAGGATTAACTGGTCGCTCCAGCATAATCCAATAAATACGTATAATCTCCTTAAAAGTATTTGGAGTGGGGGATTGTTTTTACAATTACATGTATGTAATTTTAAAGATATCTTACCTTCAAGTGTTTGGTATATATGCAGTCCAGCTGGAAGAAGCTTTGCAAGGCTGAGAACTAGGTCTCCTTCCCAAAATTCCAACAACTATTCACAAAAAGTGAACATATTTCAGAAGTGCAGATATGGCTATGTAAATCATGTTGTTTATAAAGGATTCACGCAAGTAGCTGTGGCTCTCCTGAAGGATGCCATAGTGCTAAATAATTTATAATACATAAGGGTCATCTTATAGTAATCCACTCTACAAGTTACTAAAGTACATATCAAAGTATGTAGGCAAACAATCTTGCTTGTCCTACAAGCCTATTATTACTAAAGAAACTTAAACTCGGTGAAAGTTTGGGGAAATAGAATAACAGCAAATACCTGAAATACCAATTGCTGAATTTCTCCCAGTGTTTTTCTCTTGTCAATCGTCAGATCTAGAACACTTTCCTTCTGAGAAACTACTGGGTGCAGAGCTCCATTGTAAAATTTATAGTGAGAAAATATATGGAGATGTAAATCAATACTGTTGTTTGCCAAGTCATATTCTGCCCTTTAAAAAGTATTAACAGAAAAGTATGTTCAGTGGAAAATCTGAGCACAATTGAACAAAAATCTTAATTTTCTTACAAATCATACCTTCAGAAACTTCCCACAGTAAAGACAAGTTGTTTGATTTGTATCTTACTTCATAAAATATCATTCTAAAAGTCTTATTTATTTTTTACTAATTATGCATGTTGCACTGTGCAGGAATTTAATAAGAAATTTAATATTTTCAAAAAGTGTAATTGATTCTCTGATCAGAGAAGGCTCTCTGACCCAGTGAAGACTTCTGTGATTACAAGGGAGAAAGGTAATTTGGTTGATTCCCCCTTCCTTCTGCACCCCTGCACAGATATCCAATTGCTCAAGAACATTGGGGGAGATTCTGGAACAACATGGAAAGTGGGAAGGGATGTGGGGGGCTTGCAGAAGAAAGCTGTGGGTGGCTTGTTTTTGCAACTATCACCTCCCTTCCCTTCCCGTTCTGTTCATAGAAGCCTGCACCGAACAAAAAGCCTTCCAAGACTGCAAGATGATTGTATGATCTTTGCAATCCTGATCAGAAGCCCTGAGTGAACTACACACCACACGTTTGCCACCAGAGCTGACTTACCTCTTCTTCTGCAGTTTGATATTAGCAGCATCCATTTCATTCAAGAGATGGATGGGGACCCGGTATCTTGGATTTCCTCGAGCTGTGTCAAAATAAACTGATTAATTGAATAACTGAAAACACATATTAAAAGGCTTAGGAAGTGCTGAAATTCAGATTTTCATGCATATCCTTTTTACATCACTAGGGTACTCTTCCTCTGGCTTACAGTTTATTAAACTACAAATTAAGAGAATGTCACTCAAAAACTTCCATTCCTCAAAAAAGATGCCGAAGGATCATGCAAATCCCTAAAGCTAACTGCTCAGAACACAACAACTGTTTTGGTAAGACTACATTCCTCACAACACTTAATAACAAGTTTTGCTACTGAAGTCAGTGGAACATTCTCATCTACATTATTTCAACATTTGTCTCTAAAATTTTGTCTTTTTAAGCCTTATACAAACTGGTACTTCATGACTGTTTAATAAAGAGGAAATAACCAAAAGCAATATGAAGACACAAAGCACACACTATACTTTTTGTACCTTCAGATGGTCTTGTCATTTGGGATTGTCGATAGAACAACATGTAGGCACTCTCATTCCCCTGAAACTGTTTCTCAATCTCTTGCTCTCTGATTGGCTGGACTTTGGAGTCATTCAAATCAAACCAATGGGATTCGGATGAATATTCCCGTAAACCTGTTGTTGCTTTTTCTGATGACATCTTTACCTCATGGTTCTGAGGGTTGCTTTGGGATGTTGATCCAAAATGGAGTTTATGATGATCATTCAGCTTAACTTTGCTTTCGTCAGAACTTAGAAGAAATGTTGGATAATGACTCTGCAAAAACTAAAGGGTAAAAGAGAAAGGGGGTGACAAAAAGGTGTTATTAAAATCCAGTTTAAAATGTTACAACTATCAATTAATTATACTTACTATCAATTAATTAACTTCAGATATGAACTGTATTTTTCTGAATTTGGCTGCATGAGCTGCTCCCACCTATTCTCTCACACTGTATCTTCACTCTTCTGTTTTCTGCTACTGTATTTGGGGTTACACCCTTAACCATATCTAAAATTAGCTTCAGCTTAAAGTAACTAAAACAAGTCAGTATCAGAAGCCAAATTTGAAGCTGGCTGTAAATAATAATAAAAAATCATAGTTATGCCTAACTAGTTTGTTCATGTTTGGATGTTAATGCTAACTTTTGGTTAGTCAAAACCAAAGGCAAAATTTCCATCTCCCAACAATTCCTAGGATTTATGAGGTGCAAAGAAAAGGGCTGTTCAACATATATTGGCCTTCCCCAACTTTTATTTACCTATCATTACTAATGGAAGATAATGTGTTTAATATATTTTTTCTCTTTATATGTAGGGAAGCATACGTAACACCCATTGGAAACTTGGAGATTTTCTGTATACTTCATTGTTATATTAGTTTGTACTTGGTCTCTTTTCCATAATCTGTGGAAAGGCTTTGATAGAATCAGTCAATCAAATATTCAATATGGTCAACCAACCATTAAAGAAAAAACAAAATATAAAAATAGATCACAGCTTCACAGGAACAAAGGTAACAAGTTAAGAGCTAACAATCTTTGTTCAGTGTTGCAGCATATGCTCCTGGTTTGCACACAATGTAAAAATCACACCACCCTATATAAAAATCAAATATTTTAGCTCTGTGTTTAGCTAAATCAATGCTTCTGGCATACCTCTTTGTCAGGGAATGGCTAGACGAAGAGGGGTGGTGGGAGGCACCAGCTGGGGAACCAAGGGAAAGCCCAAAGTACAAAAGCTCAGAGCCAGAGGATTGGTAGTAGGACACAGAGAAGAGGTCAGAGGGAGAGGATTGGGAGGAGGGGCTGGATGCTGAAGGAGCAACAGGGTTCAGTGAGCAGGAAGAGCCAGAGACAGGGAGCAGTTCAGACACTGAGGCTGACACCAAGGCTGTGGGGTCAAGAGGCTGCTGAAGAATCCAGGGACTCTCCCGCTGCAACTAACTCCCCTCCTCCCTGATCTTCAAGAACACAGAGAATAATGAGGAGGGCAGAACAGAAACCAGAGGTGTGCAGACACAATTTGAGTCTGCTTGGGAAACATCTGGAAGAGATGGAGCCTGAGAAAGGGTGGAAGGCGGGGACCTTGAGTCCTGGCAACTGCTCTTTAGGAGCAAGACCTGCTGGGAAGTGTAAAACAATAGGATGGCCACTCATGCCACAGGAAAATCACCACTAACTCAGGTAGTATCACTTTCTATGCTGAACTGTGTAAGACATATTGTAAAGTGCAAAAGGATTAAAGCCAACAGAGATAAAACAGAATTATCTTCAAATACCTTCCGTATTGGTCCATGCTGTTTACGGTATTTCTTGTTCCAGGACACACTTTTTTTCTCCAAAAGTTTCTGTGCCAACCGATCCACAGCAATTTCCTTAGACTCTTCCTACAAGATTAGATAACTATTGACTGAACTGCAGACACTAAAATCAATTATTACTCAAAATGGGACAGGCAAATGCTAGCAGAGGGGCCAAATCGGGTCCCAAACATGGTCCCTTCCCCCATTATAATAAAGGTCACCTAATCACTCCCAAACACAAACAGATCCTTTAACACACCCTCTTCACTGTGAGCACCAAAGTGGCTTTTAAAAAAGTTCCTCTTTATGTACCAACTACTGACTCCATGACTGTCTTGGTTCATGTATAAGAGTCAGCAGCTGAAGGACCTAAGTGGGAAATTGTTTCAAAGACAAATGTTGTGTTTGCTTCTCAGTTTTGCTAACTTGTGTAACACAGAAAATTTTTTTACACACATAAAGAAAATTATTTTAACACACATAAAGTTCTAGCAGATCTTGAACTTCAATATTTAAAAAGAAAAATCTGCAATGTTCAGTCTCAGAGCTGAACTTAAAACAGCAGTGTTGAAATGTACAGTTTAAATATATATCAGCTTAAATATAATTAAGGAGCATGAAAGGTATTCTGGCGTACTCTACCTCCAATAAGATGTTTCTTAAAATTCGTAATGGATTTTCCTTCTCTTTTGCATTTTCAATATCTTTCAAATCCTTATCTTCATCATTCATGTTGCTTTCCTCCTCCAAGAGATCAAAAATAACTTCAAAAAAGAAAAAAGAACTAGAAAGACAGAGCTGTGCATTCTGTTATGCCAAAGGAAGGCTAGCATTTTTAAAAAGTCTATCTGCCTTCCACTGATTATCATGTAGTACTCAACTGTCATTATTTCATGCTTTTTATTAAATGTATTATTATACATTAATCAATACCAATTCTCACCATTCCTCCTCCTCCTCTGCCATTAGCTGTAGCTCACAACATGAGATCAAAGATTGCAAATATTAGATTATATGTGTTAGAGAAACTACTTGGTGTTAATTTTCATTCACCAAATAAACTTGGCTTTGTGTATCTCAGGTGTGTAACATGCATATAGTTCTGCACAATAGCAGATTCCCCTGAATTGTAAACATAATATAAATGCATGTTAACAAGAGCTTGACAGTGATTTAAGCTACTGGTTCCTCTTAACTAGTGCTGCTCATTGTGACCTGCAGAAGCTCCGTGGCTTCAAGGGCCTGGATTCAACTAATGCCTCCCACTAGTGGACGCCCATGCAAAGACTTCCACTAGTGCAATAGGGCTTCCTCCCCGTGTGTGCCCCCATACCGGCTAAGGGTGTGTGTGTCAGGAGACTCCCCAAAAATCAGTGTGCAGGGGAGGAGAGGGGGATCATTCCAACAAACTAAAATGCTTGCACTGATTAAGCAGTTCCCATAGCATTACACTGAATTCCTCCCAAGAGCTTTTCCCAGGCTTACTGTTGAACCTTCATGTAAAATTGTGCTCTACAATGCAACATATATGAGATGCCTGGCCTCAGAGATGAAGTTTCGGTCCTGAAATCATGTAAAATCTGATACAGAGAACTCAGAACCTTTAAATACTAGAAATCATTTATACTTATCTAAATAATCACATAAGATGCTTTAGGAGGGAAGCAAATAATCAAATCTAAACTTATATGATCTCGTCTCTTTATATAGAGTAACTGAGAAAATAACAAAGGGGAAACTCATCTATACACTGCGACAGGAACTGCATCTAACAGTCTTTTGTCATAACTCTCTTCCAAACAATGATTTAGGCATGAAGATACAATGGGATAACTCCCATATATGTGGTCATCAGCTCCTTGGAGGAATGATGATTTATGCTTCACTCCAGTGTGTGTTCATATAAAAATGCCTTAATTCTTTATTTGCGAAGTATACATATATAGAAATCAACTTACTAGCACCTGCCAGTTTCCTAGTTCATCAATATCTCTGATGTAAACATGATAATGTCCTCCATAACAGCCACCTTTGTGTATTATAACAGAAAAGAGCTCATACATGTATTTGAAATCATCCACTTCAGTCTAAAAAGAAAAAGAAAAGACAACAATAATCAAAAGCTATTTCCACAACTGAGGTAAAAACAATCAAAGACAGAGCAAGAAAAACAGAAGGCATTGAAGTGGAAATATCAAGTACAGGCCATTACATGGATATTCCAATGTGAGAGTTACAGCTGAGTGATTTGGGGCACTTGAATATATATAATATAAATAGCCACCATCAGGAACTCTTCTCATCCATTCCTCCATGGTGTGGACAACCTACTTACTCCAGGTTAGACTCCTGCACGGTTGTGCACAGTCACTGTCTTTTTGCCTAACATACCTCAGACAGGGATGCGGGTGGCACTGTGAGTTAAACCACAGAGCCTAGGGCTTGCCAATCAGAAGGTCGGCAGTTCGAATCCCCGCAACAGGGTGAGCTCCCATTCCTCGGTCCCTGCTCCTGCCCACCTAGCAGTTCAAAAGCACATCAAAGTGCAAGTAGATAAATAGGTACCGCTCCAGCGGGAAGGTAAATGGCATTTCCGTGCGCTGCTCTGGTTCACCAGAAGCGGCTTAGTCATGCTGGCCACATGACCCGGAAGCTGTACACCGGCTCCCTCGGCCAGTAAAGCAAGATGAGCGCCGCAACCCCAGAGTGGGCCACGACTGGACCTAATGGTCAGGGGTCCCTTTACCTTTACCTCAGACAGTTGTGGTAGGGATTAAATGCGGAGAACCATGTATGACACCCTGAGCTCCTTAAAGAAAAGAGTGGGGTGTAAGTGCAATAAATAAATAAATGTTTGACCAAGCAGCCCTAAGGGATACTATAGTAAGATATGTACCTCTTCTAACCTTTACAGTAAGAAACTGGACATAGAATTAAGTGAAGATTGTACCAGTAAACAAGAGGACAGCTTCTGCAATTACCCCCAAATCACCCAGCATAAAACATTAATGATTCAAAGTGATGAAAATTTAGACACATAAAAATAGTTCAACCTGCTCACAAAAAGGCTTGAGGTTTATCCGGACTGGAAATGCATAGCTGCTTATTTCCTTGTATCGTTCACACTTCTCGAAATTGAAGTTAAATCTCAAGAGGGAGATTGTGAGAAAACGGAGGCAACTTGCGTAGTTTAGCAGACTGTAAAATAAGTAAAACGCTTTTAGGAAAGTGATCATATTTTGGTGACCAAAGCTATGTTTTTCTATTTTTTATTTTATTTTATTCCCATTTTAATGCATTTTATTATATTTGTATCTTATTGCTACAAGTACAATTGGGTGGAAAGGTGGAATGTAAATTTTCACAATTATAATTATGAATGTTCCATGAATAAACAAAATAACACCGGGGGGGGGGAATCCAAAGAGCAAGACAGCTTAGCCTAATTTTGCTAAGGTAAAACTTAATCAAGGCAAAAATTTAATTAAACCATACAGATTTTATTCATAATCATTAAAAGTACTTAACAAGAGAATATCTTTTAAACGTTCTGGAAAAGTTAAAATCATCTCATATTTCACAACTGTATCCATATTGCAAAGCAGGTCTCCTACTTTGAGGATAATTCCATATGGTGACAATGAAGACAGCTGAAAGCAGGTCCGCCTACATTTGCTTCGCAGAGGTCTTGAGTCATAGTTTGCAAGCGCTATAAGCGTAGCCCTATATTAAACTAGATATGCGCTAGCTGTTAAATTTCCAAGAGGAAGGAGGGAACTTTCAAGTATATATCATGCTAATAAGGAAACTTGCCCTTATGCCACGATCTATGTCAGCCTTCCCCAACCTGAAGCCCTCCAAAACATATCCAGGGCACCATTTTGAAGAGGGGTGACTTGAGCATCTTGGAAGAATTACCATAGCTCTGCACATGATTACAAAACATTTCACTGGCCAATTCCCCCAATTACAACAAGAAGAAGTTTCCATCATCTAGAGTGCAACCATCCAAGCACAGGACACAATGAATGGATTTTACATTGAAATGAATTTTGCACAGAAGATAATTAGCCTTATTTTAGGATGTTATAGACTCAACATCTGAGTAAACAATACTTGTAAAATACTACCTTTGTGGCTTCAACTAATTTATTGCATGCTCCACATCGATACAAGTTATCTTTCTCAAAATGTTCTTCTTCCACGTACATATTCCACAAGGCTTCCTCCAAGCCAGATACATCTTTGACAGCAACTGTGAGGTCCAAGAAATCCTCCTACAAAGCCGAGCAGAGATGAAAGCCCTCCTTTAAAAATGTATTTTAAAGACATCATGGACTTATTTGTATAGCTCATAAGAAAACTACAACCTGAGTCACCAATGCCAGGAAACAATGGTTAACAGGTTCAGAACAAGTCAGAACTTCAAACCTTGATTTACTATCCTGGCCTGTTCTGAATATGGCAACCAGTTTCCTGGTGACGATAAAATGGGAAACTACTGTTAAAATGGAAATTTTCCTGTTTATCTGCTTGCTAGGGCCGTGTGGGGTGAAAGACTTGTTCATACCTCAGCTTATTGTAAGGTTATTTTGTCTCAAAAAGCTTGTGTCAATTATGCATAGCAAAAGTTAAAAATATACAATTGTGATTTGCACTGCAATCCCAAAGATCTTTGAAATTTTGGGCAAAGGTTGAGAACTGGACTAGTTTCTAGTTTACATTTGTACCATAATGTTTATTTTAAAAACATTACTAATTCTCATAATCACATTGAGTTCTGAACAACAGATAGCTGTATTGAGAAATTTTGACTAAAATTTGATCTGCACATTTCTAACAGGACTGCATTGCTAAATGTGAAGCTGCAGAGGACTCCTGGTTAAAAATTTGTCACTGGAAACACAAGAGAGCGCACAGAATACTGTTCTGAAACTTGCCCATGGAATTACCTGTCTCTCACTGACATTCTTGCACTCTTTACAGACAATGTGATTAACAACAGTCCCATGGTATAGCTGGTTTATTAGATTATGACCAGAGGTCCCAACAAGGGAGGTCTCTAAAGCACTGAACAGAATCCGATTTAACTCCTGCACATCATGTTGTCTCATTTCCTGCAAGATAGGAGATTATTTTTAAAAAAGAATTGACATTGCTTGAAAAGAGTTTTCCTCTTCATTTCAATGAAGATCCAATTACGCAAATAAACCTAATTTACAACGTCCCTTAAGCTCTTGCCACAGATGTCGTGTTAATCCAGCAGTGTCTTTTTTGTGGTTGCTTATCTGTCATTTTATTTTGTTCTTATGGTGTCAGGGACACCCACCAAATTGGAATCTTTGTGGTCTTTCCAACTGATAGCTATATAACATGAACTTCCATTATGGGATGTCCTCATATCTACTAGAGGAGGGACAGCCAATGTGGTTGGCTATAATTCCCACCGGCTTTTTGCCATTAGCCATGCTGGTTGGGGCTGATGAGAGGTGAAATCTAGTAACATTTGGAGAGAATCACATTAGCCATTCCTGTGCTAGAGTATGGTCTGCAATGGAACTGTGGCCTAAAGCACAATACCCATTTTAACTGTCTGAGCATCTTTAATGCGTTCCAAAGGTGAGATGAAGCTATACTGAAAGAAACATATGAAAGCATTTTAAGAGAGCAAACATGTCATGAACTACCACTAATTGTTGGAAAATTATACAATTTTAATATTTTGCCTTTCATTTCCTATTACAAAAACATACCTGAAACGAAAGAATCTTCAAAAATAAGTATGCCCTTAACTTGTATGCCTACCAATTAAAATTAATAAACTACCAATGAAATTAAAGTTTGAAGACCTATGAAATATTAACCAGGAAGGAGGGAGGAACCACCTCAAAGGGTTGGATCCTTCCCAGTATCTTGCCACCCCAAGCCTCTCCTGAGGGTCAGGAGACTATGATGAATGGGGTGGATTATAGGGGTGTGGGTCGAGAAGCAGAGCTGTGGACCATCCCTACCATAGGCTAATATATGGCTGACAATATAGGCAGCCAGGATAGTAAAATACTTTGGAGGGATTTCATACAAATGTTAAAGGTTTTAAAAACTGTCAACATTATTAATAAATTATTTGGCAAATGTATTGATACCATATAAATATTCATATTCCCTTCCTTTATGAAGGAAACTGATATTTACCTTCAGTGAATCTCTGAACAAAAGTAGTTTGACAAAATATACCGTTTTTATTTCCTTTTTTTCTGGAAGGAAAAGGAAACACAGGGAAAACCACCTTAAGGGCGAGCAATGCTATCAATGAATACTATATTGTACCTCATTACTATTCCATCCAAAGCTGTCAGTGAGGTCTGCTGTAGATGCAGCATGTTGATCTAGGAGCAAAAGTTGAGCAAACAACCGTTGGAGCTGTAATGGGATTATTCGAACCTAAACAGAAATGATCATAAACTTTAAGAAGCTGACTTTCCATTAACCTTCAAAAAACATATTTATTAAATTAAAAAAATTACACACCTCTGGTTACGAACTTAATTTGTTCCGGAGGTCCATTCTTAACCTGAAACTGTTCTTTACCTGAGGTACCACTTTAGCTAATGGGGCCTCCCACTGCTGCCAGTGCGCGATTTTTGTTCTCATCCTGAGGTAAAGTTCTTAACCCGTGGTACTACTTCGGGGTTAGCGGAGTCTGTAACCCGAAGTGTTTGTAAACCGAGGTACCACTGTACTGCCTTTCATTAAATACCAAGTCAGTATACAAAAACACAATTCAATCCAAACAATTCAATGTACAATAAAAAATCTAATAAAAACAAAACATCACATTTACAGTAGCTAGGAATCTTCCAGCTGTTATCAGAGATGAGGCAAAAATTGAGTAAATGGATATATTTTAAGCAGCCATTAGAAGTTCACCACAGTAGATACCTGCACTATTTCAGTGGGGAGCTCACTCCACAGCCTGGAAGCCACAACAAAGAATGCCCACCCCCAAGTTGCTTCAAGATGAACCTCTGCAGGCTACGGTATAACTAACTGTGCTTCCTCACAAAATATTAGAGCATGATTCAACCAGATTTCTAACTTACACTGATTTCAGTGGGAAAGAATTAAGTACAGTTCAGTTCTTCCATTTACAGTGGTGCCTCGCAAGACGAAAAGAATCCGTTCCGCGAGTCTCTTCGTCTTGCGGTTTTTTCGTCTTGCGAAGCAAGCCCATTAGCGGCTTAGCGCTATTAGCGGCTTAGCGGATCAGCTGATAAGCAGCTTAGCGGATCAGCTGATAAGCGGCTTAGCGGATCAGCTGTTAAGCGGCTTAGTGGATCAGCTGATAAGCGGCTTAGCGGCTTGGGAAAAGGGGGGGGGAGGAAAAAAACCCTGCAGGAACTCGCAAGACATTTTCGTCTTGCGAAGCAAGCCCATAGGAAATTCGTTTTGCGAAGCACCTCCAAAACGGAAAACCCTTTCGTCTAGCGGGTTTTCCGTCTTGCGAGGCATTCGTCTTGCGGGGCACCACTGTATATCAATTAGGCTGAAGTCTACTTAGCTTTGGCCGGATCATGCATTTAGCAAACTGCTACACCTGTTTAGTTGAATATTATATAGTAGGGTGAGAAACCTGGAGTCCTCCAGATGTTAGGATTCCAACTTCCATCAGTCTGGCCAGTGATCAGGTATGATGGGAGCTGCAGCCTAACATATGGAGGGCCACAGATTCCCCAGCTCTATTCAATAGCCATATGAAAACATTTAGCCCCAAAGTGCTTTTTAAATGTTTTCATTTCAATGAAGAAAAGGTTTGGCTAATCAGTAAGGAAACCTTTATAATAACCTGTAACAAACATAACTGAACAAATATAAATGAGGTATCTGATAACAAGTAATTACTACAGAATTGTAGAGTTGGAAGGGACCCCAAGAGTCATCTAGTCCACCCCCTGCAATGCAGAAATCTCAACCAAAGAACCCATGACAGACAGCCATCCAACCTGAGGGTCTCTATTCCACTGTTGATCAGCTCTTACCATCAGAAAGTTCTTCCAAACGTTTAGATGGAATTTTCTTTCTTGTAACTTGAAGCCATTGGTTCAAGTCCTACCCTCCAGAGCAGGAGAAAACAAACTTGCTCTCTCTTCCATATAAAAATAATTTTGCTTAAACCCAATTTCACCTAATTACTTTTCTTAAGAATATATCAAGGGACAGTCCAGGCTTTCCCCTGTGCATGGTAATAATGCCTCACAGCTTTTAAGTGCACAGGGCTAAGGGAGATTTGATATTATTTATATTGATTAGTCACTCCAACTACAGAGAATGCACTTGGTCAGATAATCTTTTTAGACACTGAACAACTGCTCACTGTTTAACATGCTCAGATATCTAAAATAGATGTCCATGTAGTGATGTTAGGGTAGAAATTCCTCATGTGCAAATAACTAAAGGTTTGTGTAATGAGTGTTTGCACAACAGGACCTGTGTGTATTCTGAAAGCACTGCACCAGAACCTATGCAGGAAAATCCCTGCTTTGTAGATTATATGAGCACATGAAGTAATGTGTGCACCCCCAGCTTTGCATTATAAATACATTATCCATCATCTTAATATTTTATTTATTAATTGCATTTATACCCCACCTTTCCTCCAAAGAGATCAAGGTGGCATACAGACTTCTCCCCATTTTATCCTCATGATGATCCTGTGATGTAGTTTAGGCTGCGAATGAGTGGCCCAAGCTAACCTAGTGAACATCATAAACCTTTGAGCTGATCGAAGTATAGAATTGAATACCTTTGATTCAGGCTTACTGTTGTCTTCCAAAGAACCAAGTTCTTCAGGGCCTATAGAAAACAGTGCTTCTACAACAAAAATGAAAAATACCAATATGAGAACAAATCTCCTACCAACACCACAATTATAAAGAAGTGTGCAAATAGAAATGTTAACTTTCTAAATCAGACTTCATTTTGCTCCTTTCCCTTCAAATGGGTTTGTATCACAATTTCCATAGGCACCAGCTAGCATGACCATTTTGCTTTTGTCCATTCCCCATGGGACAAAAGGTGTATTTATTCTGAGGAAGTTGTCAGTGTTGGTGCTTGCACAATTTGGCTTTCCAAAAAAATAGTGAGATTGCAGAGTTTAATGTCTGTTCAAAGAAAGCAGACGCAACTCGACAAAAAAGGACCATTTTAATACAGCGGGAAGCAAGTGAGCCCTGCCCATTCATCCATAGAGAGATGAGATGAACTAATAAGGTAAAGCTAAGTCTGAGGCAAACAGACATGAAACAGAAATATTATTCGGATTCAGGATCAGGCACTGTGGTGATGACCAACTTACATTAACAGGCAAAACCTCAAATCAATTCTGAATAAAACAAGTCTATGCTGCAGCTCTGGATCAACAGTTAGCCAACTAGCCTAATAATTGATGCTGGAAAAATATCAACAGTCTTACCCAAATATACTTTTCAGAGTATACATTTGTTAACTTTCATTATGCCACACAAGCCTTTTTTGTTACTTTCAACCTTTGTATCTTTCATTGTTAATTTTACTCAGTCCTTAGATACTCTGGTCTATTATCCAATACAACATTTAGAAATACATTTTGGAAGTTTTTTATTCATTCATTCCTAGGTTATATAGTAAGAAAAGTAAGGTAAACTACTTTGTGTAAAATAACACAAAATCCGGCATTCAGAAAAAGCTATTTTAAAATGTTAAAATACTGTACAGTACCTCTAAATTCTGGTGTGAATAGTAGAGTCTGAAGAAGTGAATTAAGGTAGCAGGTTCCACCCTGATTTTTTATTCCACTTAAATTGGTGCTTTCTCTAGGAACAAGCAGCTCAGCATCTTTGTGTTTTGATTTTTGCTTCCCACATTGATTGTTTGACAAAAAGGAGAAGTCTTCATCAAATAAATTTCCAAACATTGTGAAATTATAACACAGACCTTTAAAGAAGAAGATAAAATAATCTTGTATTTTCATCATTATTATGTTACACTGGTGTTATCTGAAAAAATATCCATATTTTAAAGTACAATTAAAACCATGAGAAAGATGCTTAGATAACATTTGTCCTTTGAAAACAGCCAAAGATAGCACTGAATGAATGTTTTTGTTGAGGTTTGCTAATGACTGGAGGAAATTATTGCCATTTACATGGCTGGAAGTCTTCAGACTCCTATCCTTCTGACATGACTCCATTCACAACATGGGGGGGGGGGATAAATTACAACTATGCATAGATTTCAAAGATATAAGTATGGAATGAAAATCAAGAAACAGTGGACAGAATGACTGGTCAAGGAAAGTGGTTAGTCCAGTTTACACAACCTATCTCTTGGTACATATGATGGGCCCTGTATAGAGCCCCACCCCATATGGAAATAAATGTATTGGTGAATACAAATGGCTTTTGGTTGTTGTTTTTTACTAAGCAGTAACTTATCAAGATGATGTCTCTTCTTCTTTTTTAGACATCACCTTGCCAACAAAGGTCTGTATAGTAAAAGCTATGGTTTTCCCAGTGGTGATGTATGGAAGTGAGAGCTGGACCATAAGGAAGGCTGATCGCCGAAGTATTGATGCTTTTGAATTATGGTGCTGGAGGAGACTCTTGAGAGTCCCATGGACTGCAAGAAGAACAAACCTCTCCATTCTGAAGGAAATCAGCCCTGAGTGCTCACTGGAAGGACAGATCATGAAGCTGAGGCTCCAAGACTTTGGCCACCTCATGAGAAGAGAAGACTCCCTGGAAAAGACCCTGATGCTGGGAAAGATGGAGGGTGCAAGGAGAAGGGGATGACAGAGGACGAGATGGTTGGACAGTGTTCTTGAAGCTACCAGCATGAGTTTGACCGAACTGCAGGAGAAGTGCCTGGCGTGCTCTGGTCCAGGGGGTCACGAAGAGTCGGACACGACTGAACGACTAAACATATATGGAAGTGCCTGGTAAACTGATCATCTGTAATATCTTGACATACAGCAAGAGGAAGTTTACTACTCCACTAACCAACCTACTTCTATTTAAAGTGCAGAATTATCCTAATGCATCTATTTTATTTACTTACTGTATTTCATATACTTTTCAGGCAGACCTCAAAAAGTGATTGCAATGATAAGCATTGCTTTAAAAAAGTTACAAGAGAAATGGCAGGGTGGGATTAACTTGTTTAGAAAAAGCTGTTACTGCATCTTTTTCATTCCCCCTCCGGACATGGTGGCTATTTAGACTTGCCCCCTTGGTGGCAGTTGTGGGGAGGAGAGAGGAGCCACTATGGGAGCTGGCTGTGGTTCCTCCAGCATATATATTGGCAGGACATTACATATGCCACTTAGGACAGAGTTATGAAGTACAGTCATACCTCTGGTTACAGACGCTTCAGGTTGCGCGTTTTTGGGTTGCGCACCGTGCCAAACCCGGAAGTACCAAAACGAGTTACTTCCGGGTTTCAGTGCTCACACATGTGCAGATGTGCTAAATCGTGCTTTGCGCATAAGCACTGAATTGCGACCCGCGTGTGCACAGACACGGCACATGGATCACGTTCGCAACCCGAGCGTCCAGTGTACCTGGAAAGTCCTTTATACCCACACTGTGAAGCAACTCTGAGCAGCTCCAAGTGGGAGAAGACATGTTTTGGAGATTTCCATCAGGAAACAGAAGCAGGGGGGAGGCAGCGTAGCCCAAGGGCAACTAGGTAGAAGGAAAGGAGAAGCCAGGGCGGCACCTGCCTGTGAAAACACTCCACGCCCCACATCGGGACCCGCCTAACGCCCAGCCCAGCTGCAGGTGGGTCAGTCACACGGGCAACGTGCACGCGCGCAAGTCAGTTTTGGCCCCCGTGCAAGTTTCACGCCCAAAACACCGGAGAAGGAACCTGCCTCTGATCCCCCTGCGCGTTCACACGGGGAAACGGTCCTCGGTCCGAAATCGAGGCGCCTCAGGAAGGCGGCCTGGGCGGCCTCCTCTCCCCGGGCGACGGGAGGGCCCCGATTCCCGGCTGCCTGTAGGGGCAAACAAGTCCCGTTGTCAAAGGGGCCGGGAGGAGGAGGCCGGGACTCTTCTCCCTGACGCGTTTCCTCTCTGTGGGAATGCTCGGTCACGTGAAAAGCGACAGGCAAACAACACACCACCCGAAGAAGTGGGGCCCAGGCCCCCGGCGCAAGCACCTCACTGAGGACTAGGCCCGTGACGAGGCCTGCAGCGCCAGCCTCCGAAAGGCTGTTTCACGGGGCGGCGGCGGCACTGCTCCCCCCTGCCCACCCCCCGCCCGCAGCCCAGCCGCGCACCTCAGCAGCAGCAGCAGCAGCGGCAGCGCCACCGACCCAGCCCGGCCGCTTCCCTCTCGCCTGCGGAGCCGACGGCGCCTTGAGTAAGAAGCCCGAAAGCCGCCCCAAGGCCGCTGGGCTTCCTCTACCCTGCAGAGGTTGCTGGGAACTGTAGTCTCCACTGGCTTCTAATCTAGACCGAGCGCCGCCCAGCCGCAATGGCTTGTGGGAGTTGTAGTTCTTCCAAGTGCTTAGCCGGTTCACGTAATTCTATCGTGTTTCAGTATTTTAACTTTTGTGTGTTTCAAAGAATGGCTGTGAATTTTTCTCGATTTCCTTGCTTTGCTTTTTTGCAAGCCGCTTTGAGGGTTTTTATTTTTACAATCAAGCGGTGTATAAATTTCTAGAAGCAAAAAAATTAAGTAAGTGGCACGAAGCTAGTTCAGGCTTCTGGTGGGGTAAGGATGCTTCCCTCCCCCCCCCAAGTTTCGCTCGTTATTTTTCTTTTCTCCCGCTATTCCAGGTATAGCTAAACATGGTGTGTGTTTGTGTGTAGAGGTGCAAATAAAGTGGGGGGCGGGGGAGAACAAATTTGTAATGGATGTATGATGTTCAGCTGACAAAGGATGTTCTAGTGATACTAGCTGTCTCTGATATATTTTACTTTTATTGCTGAACAATTTTGGTTACTGCATTGGCTATCAAGACTTGCATGTTATTGGTTTGTAAAAAATAGTGGATCTAAAAATTAGAAAAACAGCTGGAACAGAGTATCAAAAACAGAACAGAAAAACAAAACAAATATCTAGGTATGTAAAATAAGTACATTTGTCCATGGATTGAGTGTCAGAGTCCAGATTCAGAAAAATAAATATGTGTGTGTGTATACAAACACACACACACACATTATTCTTGAGAATGTTGAGGTTGCTTGTGTAAATAATAAAGAGATGCCATATCGTTATACAGAACCCAAATTTCCAAGTGGTGCAAGATTCCAGGCATGCTTACCCAGAGTCCAGGTTTCTTTGGGGGGAATGAAACAGCGGAAAATGTGTTGTCTTCATGATTCATGGTTTATTTACACATACAGTGGTACCTTGGGTAAGTACTTAATTCGTTCCGGAGGTCCGTTCTTGACCTGAAACTGTTCTTAACCTGAAGCACCACTTTAGCTAATGGGGCCTCTGCTGCTGCCGCGCCACCGGAGCACGATTTCTGTTCTCATCCTGAAGCAAAGTTCTTAACCTGAAGCACTATTTCTGGGTTAGCGGAGTCTGTAACCTGAAGCGTAGGTAACCCGAGGTACCACTGTATATGCAACCTGAGCCTATGATGGAGAGGTTCACAGCATGAAAACTCCAAGAGGATCTTGATTCTCCTATAGCTGCAGCCCTGGGTTCAAACAGAAATCAAACATGCTCCAAAAACAGGACTCTGACCCTCTCTCCAGCTTGTGGCATTTTTTCCTAGGTCACACCCTGCAAACTCCAATCCTAAACTCAATTCTGCTTCAAACTCTGCTCTTTGTCTTTCAAACTAACTCTGAGTTAGTTCCCATTTGTCATCTGGCCCAGAGTCCCTTCTTTTTGTCTTTCCTAAGGGCTCCTCACCTTCTCTTTGTCTTCTATCTAATGGCCCAGCACCTCAGGAGATTTTCTGTACATGGGAAGCTGGTTTGGGCTGTCTTTGAACGCTGCTAAATCCAGTGTCTAGCAGCCAGTTTTTAACACTCCAAGCATTGATTAACTTCTAACATTTTTTGGACCCAGGAATTTTGGGGAGTCTAGAACCCACAAACTCATAACATTATAGAAAGAGTTTGGGGTAGTGTTTCGACTAAGAAGCAGTATTTAAAATGCTGTTTCTAATTAATGTCTTTTTGCACATGAAAAAATATACTTTTATTTTGAAAGAGACTCTGACTACCTTGTAATGTAAATACTGCAGGTTGGAGATGGGTCTGGGGCTGACACTTCAATATCCATGAAGAGGCTACCTTGAATTGCCCAGTACAAGACTGCATGTTACCTTACTCCACCCCTTACACACGTTTCCCATGAGTGGGTAAATGGAGGACAACTCTGTTGTGGGAAAGTGTAGCTGTGTGTTTGAAGGTACAAAATAACCCTGAAACACATTACAGGGTAGATGAAAACCTCTCCCTCTTAACCCCAGACCACCTCCTACCCGCAGTATTAGTAGTGGATTACATTACAAGGTTGTCATAGTAGGATACTGTTTCTTCCCTTTCAAATTAAAAACACATTTTTCATGTGCAAAAAGACAGGGGATAGAACCAGCATTTTACATTCTGCTTGAGTGATGCTTGATTTAAAGCTAGAGCACAAGTGAAAGACTCCATGTGAAGCTGTTCAGACACACACTAGATCATATAGCTTTATCCAGTGCTATTTTTGTTAAGTTGTGGGTGAACATATCAGATGACACAGTGATTCTTCAAACAGCTCTTGTTTATTCACAGGCCAGAACAGAACTGAACTGAAGGGTTCAGCCAGCCTGCTTATATAGAGCTCCACTACAACACAACAGTAACCACTTTCTGTAACTATCCAATCACTGAACGTCACTTTCAATCCCTTATTTGCATATGTGGACCTGAGTGAAAACTATCTACAGTATCCCCCCTGCTGGCCCAGGGTGAGAACTTCAGTACATAACAATTTTTCTAGAAAAAGAGGTGCCAGAACTCACCATGAACTCACCCTTGTTCTAAATGTAACTTGAAAAAAGAGACATTAGGCATACCTTTGTAAACCCAGAAATCTTTAATAGCAAAAAAATGTAAAAAGTAATTACTGTAAAGTAATTAGAATGGCAATGGCGCACAGCTGAGAAGTGCTGGAACTGAGATCTGGCAAGTTATGGCCCCCAAAAAAGCCCTGGCTGTACCCATGCATGCTGCCTTGCTCTGTCACAGCATAAATTTGAAAGGGCCTAGTCCCTTCATTGAAAATATGGGGAGGGCACCCTACTTGGTACTCTTGGGTGTACTTATTGCATGGCAGTGAAGTCATCCAGGACTTTCAGATCAGAACACATTGTTTCTAGATAGCATTGAGACTTGGACATCTCTTTTTCTATACAGTATATAAAAGATTCAGCAACTTTTTTTTATTTTTCTCAGAACTCTGGTACAATTTCTTACTGATTAACAATCTGCAGTTGGGGGGGGTGTTGGATATAAAATATAGTTCTGGAGCTAGCTTGTTTACCCAGTTTAGAGGTGAAGCTACTTTAGCACATTTTACAAAAGCTGTTTAAAACAATAAAGAACAAGATGATGAAAGAACAAGTTCTAGTTAATATAGCTTGAGAACAGCCACTATAAAATTGAGTTAACAGATTAACCTAGCATGAATCAACACAATCAGCTTGAATTTTAAATGCATTTCTTCCTATCCATAGGGAGGTAATCAGTTCAAAGTCTGTTGTTTTAACATTTGATCCAATTTCAGGGAGATATCTACTAAAGTCCTGATGCAAGGCAACAGTGTGATATCTAACCAATGTTTAATTGCTAGTCAGATATTAGTACAGTCAGAGGTAAATAGAGGACAGGACTCTTGTACCTTTTATCTTAATCCATTCCTTTGAAATATGCTCACCTTAAAAGAACTATAACTTTTGTGCCTATTCTGCAGCATGAATGAAGAGAGTGCCATTTTGCCCTTCAATTCAGGCAGCAAAATGGACCAGCCATGTGCTCCCATTTGTGCTCCCATTTGTATGAATGATTGATATTAATTAATCAGATACAGAAACTGCTGGCTTCTTTTGCAAAATAGTCACTTCAAGAATTTAGTCTTAACTAATGCACTGTTTGTTTTAAGTTGCTTTATTTTTAAGACATGTCCTCTTCATCATTGCTGGCCAACAGAAGACAGACAGGATTAGAAAAAGAACAACAACAATATCCTGCCCAAGAGTGTTTTCCCCACTCTGGGAGGCTTACAGAATATATAAAACAAAATAAAACATCAAACATTAAAAACTTCCCAACACAGGGCTGCCTTCAGATATCTTCTAAAAGTTGTATAGTTCTTTATCTCCTTGACAGTATTTAAAACATGGTAGCCCAATCCTGTGCATATTTACTTGGAAAGAAGACATTGGAAAGCAATGACTAGGATTGCAATTATACCGGGAAGTATCACTTGTACTACTTGTGTGCATGGACAGTCAATGCAGAAAAGAGGGAGTAGATGATGGTAATGGGGAAAACAAAATACTGTCCTGTAGTAACTGATGCACTATGACGTTCCAGAGGTAAGCTTGAATGCATTAATCCTGTGTTCAGTACCTCTGGACCTATCAGGCAGGTAAGGGCAGAGAGTGGGATCGTCAGAGAGAAAGACACCTGCTAGCGTACTAGAAATAGCTAAAAAATAACCTGCTTTTGAAATAAAGCCAAAGTGATGAGCCAGCCATCTTGGCTAAGAAATGAAGACCAAAACACCTTTATCATGAAGAGTAGGTAGATGGGGCTTTCAGGCTTAGAAGTGAGGAGGGTTATTTTTAATTTTTATTGTGTACACTAAAACACTGCATGTTGATGTAGCAGTCACATAACATTGACCACAGGGGGGAAAGTCACTTCCCTTTAAAAATGTGAAAGGCACCTAACCCAGCACAAAAACTTCTATTTATTTCTAATAATTTTGTCAAGAAATAAAAATGTTATAGGAATTAATTGCTTTTTCCCTTTAAGTAACACACAAATGTTAAAGATGTCCTGTACAGCAACAAAAACCCACCTGTTAATATGAAATTTGACAGGCTTCATTCTGTCTGAATGGGTACTATGCTCCAAATTTCATCCAATTCTATCAGAAATGTTGTAAGTTTATAAATATTTATTAATTTTCCAATTATAGTCCAGGAGGAAGTAATCAGGAGCTTCAGAAAATGAGGTGACATTTCACCTCAGATGCAAACCACATTAGGTCAAATCATGCTGAGGCAACCTGTCATCTCAGCAACCTGTTATCTGAGCAAACAAAAGTGAGTTCGAAGGTGAATATATTTATTTTATTATTTATGCACAGCCCTATTAGCTAGTATAATTGGTAGGTAGTTCCCCTCTAATATCATGCAGAAGATCCATTTGAAGAGCGAAAAGGCAGGAGTCAGAAAT